GATGTAGTTTAGTACTCCTGAGGTCCGACCCCTAGTACCTTAAAAAGAAAGAAAGTATATACTATATAATTCCACTGATACGAAGTTCAAAACTACACTTTTTCTTCCTTTTTTTTTCTGTCTTTTTGAAGCAGGGTCTCACTGTGTAGCTCACGCTGACCCTGTGCACACTGTGTAGCCCAGACAAGTCTCAATCTCACAAGGATCCTCCTGCCTCAGCCTCTGGAGTGCTGGGATTACAGGTGTGCATCACCACGCCTGGCTTCTTTTTTATTTCTTGAGACAGATTTCTGTGTTGCTTAAATGCACCTCCAACTCATTATGTAGCCCAGGCTGGGCTTGATTTGGGGGGATCCTCTTGCCTCAGTCTTCTGAATGCTGAGATTACAGACATGAACCATGCCCAGTTTGAATTTTATTTTTTCTTTTTTTTGAGACAAGGTCTTTCAGTCTTTCAGGCTGACCTTGAACTTGCAGTGACCTGCCTGCCTCAGCCTTCCTGGTGCTGTAATTACAGGCATGCACCATCATGCCGAGTGGAATTCTTTTTTTTTTAATGTTTTTGTACCTGGGATTGAACTCACAACCTTGCACTTTCTAGGCATGTGCTTATGCCACTGAGCTAAATCCCTGGCCCTGGAGCTGAACACTTATAGAAATATAAATCAATGGTCACTTCTGGTAGGAGAGAGCGATTTCTTTTCTTTCTTTCTTTTTTTCTTTTCTTTCTTTCTTTGTACTGGGAATTAAACTCATGACCTCATGCCTGCCAGGCAGGCACTGAGCTGTTTCTCCAGCCCTAGGGAGGAGGGATTGACCAGTATGACCGTGTAGGACTTTCTGGGGTGTGGAAGTGTAGTATCATCACATAGGAACATGTATTGGGGAGCATATGTATTTACCAAGTGTCATCCAACAGTAGGCTTAAGATCTGTGTATTTTACTATATATAGTTATTTTTTTTTTTTTGTCTTTTTTGTTTTTCATAGGTACCAGGGATCGAACTCACGACCGCCTGCTTGCAAGGCAGGCACTTATGCCGCTGAGCTAAATCCCCAGCCCCTATATAGTTATTTTTTAAGATCCAAGTATATTTATTGAGAAAAAGAAAGCTTCTGTCTGAGAGAGACAGAAGGGGACCTGAGTGGGCTGCCCTTCTACTGCACACACTTACATCTCAGTGTTCAAAATGTCACTGAGGTCAGCCAGGTAGGTTAGGATGTCCCATAATCTCAGTGACTCGGGAGTAACGGGAGAGTCACAAGTTTGAACTTCACCTGGGCAATTTAGCAATTAGCAGAATGTCTCAAAATACAACACTAAAGAAGACCTTGGGTCTGGGGCGCCCCTCACCAGACGGGGTGAGGAAGCAAGGCTAGCCCTGAGGCCGGCGGTGGGGTCAGGAACTGTGAACCTCAAACCTCAGAGAAGAAGCATCATGAACTGAGGAGAGGAGAAGCCACCCATGTCTCACCCCGACCACTGCTAGCTGGCCCACTGCTGGCTGCCCAAGAAACTCTGCAGCCCCAGAGCGAGACTACTTCCCGGTCTCTCTCCCCCAGTTCCTTGCACACAACTATGCCCTCGGCCCTTTTTTTGTTTTTGTTTTTTTTGTTTGTTTGTTTTGTCTTTTTCCTTTTTATCGGTGCCGGGGATTGAATTCATGACTGCCTGCTTACAAGGCAAGCACTTATGCTGCTGAGCTAAATCCCCAGCTCCCCCCCTTTTTTGGTTTTGAGACAGGGTCTTGCTAAATTGCTAAATTGACCAGGCTGGGCTAGAACTTGCATCCCTCCTGCCTCAGCATCCTGGGGCTCTGGGGTTACAGGCGTGCATCACCAGGCCTGGCTAGGAACATTTCTATTTGCCACCTATCTTCTTGAGCATGTGGGAAGAGTTTCTTTTAAAAATCCCACCTCTTGCCCATTGAGGTGGTCCCCCAGGTGCCCCTGTCCTGCAGGATAAAGCTCCCAGGAGGTCTCAGAGGTACTGAATGGGGAGGTTCCTTCAATCCACACTTGCTCTAGGACTCATTCGAGATGGACTAAAGGAAGCAGCCCAAGCACCATCCTCAGACCCCACGCATTCCTGTGCCGGGCAGCCTTGGCTGGCGAAGAGAGGCTGGGAGAGAGGGACCCTAGCTCTGCGGGGGCGCGAGTTCAAGCGCAAGGCCTGGCCACCCTGGCCCAGAACCCGCAGGAGCAGAGGATCTCCGAATCCGAGTGCCCGCACGCTCCGTGACCGGCAGAGGGCAGCCTCGCACCACCCTGGCTCCTCTGCTCCGCCCCCTCCGCTGGGAGACAAGCAGGGAATCCCTTCTCCCTAGCCCGGTGACCTGAGTGTGTCTGGGTGACCAAGGGAAGTTAAATTATTACTTTGTGAGAGACCTGGCCTTTGAAGCCGGCATGGCTCCAAGCCAGCTTGCTGCTTTTCTTTTTTGTTTTCTTTTTTGGTACTGCGGATTGAATTCACAACCTTGCACTTACCAGGCAGGCCCTTATGCCACTGAGCTAAATCCTCAGCTGGCCTCAGACCCTCAAGGTGATCCTGCCTCAGCCTCTTGAGTGCATGCCCACCACCGGGCCAGGCCAGTGTTCTTCACCCGGAGATCACTGCTCCTCCAAAAGAAAGCTTAGAGCCAGTACAGCAGTGGTGGGACGTGGACAGGCTGTGCACGTATTGCAAAACACGTAAAGCTGGAAACAGGAGCAAAGAAAAACATCTGCACTGATTTGAAAGGAGCCAGCAGAAAGCTTGTGGCGAGGGTGAGCCCTTGTCCCAGGTCCTGCTGCTTTTCTAGGGGCTGTGTGATACGTACGTGGATGTGCGGCGTGTTCTTGCACTATCTCTGTGCAACCCTGGAGTTATGGGTAGTGTGATGGCTTTACATCTGCAAAATATACAGATGGGCGCTCTGCAGTTCTCAATAGATGCTGTTCAAGGGTGCGTAAGATAAGCAGCGGGTCTGCATACAGGCACACGCTGTCTACAGCAGCACAGTGTGGTAGAGTAGCCAGTTCTTGGGGACAGCTCGGGTCCTCATAACTGGTGAATGGATAAGGAGGAGGTGTGCTTTTTTTTTTTTTGTCTTTTTCCTTTTTACTGGTACCAGGGATCAAACTCATGACTGCCTGCTTGCAAGGCAGGTGCTTATACCGCTGAGCTAAATCCCCAGTCCCAAGGTGTGTGTGTTTTTTTATACAGTGGATGTAGTGGGTCGGTAACGGTAACTGGTGGTCAATTTAATACCAGCTGAACTGAGCCAGCGTGGCGCTGAGCGTGGAGGGCCCACCTGAGGACCATTTCTAGCATAAGAAGGAGACCTGGAGAGGAAGCAGCAGCACCGCGGGTTCTCCTGTGGACTCTCCTGGGAGTTGTTGGTTCTCCTGGAGGAGCTGGTCATGCTGGCTCCCCGATATGCACTCAGCTGTTATCATCAGAGAAGGTCAGGACCTTGTCGCTAAGGGCAGCTCACTTTGGGGGAGTTCTGGTCCTTACATTGAGCATCACTTCCTGGCTCCAGAGGGGAAATGTGTAGCTTGTCATGCTGGCTTCTTGATATGACCGTGGCTGTTCTCATTGTCAGAGGAGCTCGGGACCTTGTTGTCTCTGGGGATGGCTGTGGTGCTTTCTGGGGGATCCCTGGTCCTTAATTTGAGCATCACTTCTTGGTTCCACTGTAGAACCCTCAATCTGCTGGCACAGATCCTTCACTCCACTGTCACAGACTTTCTAGCTTCCGCGGCTGACCTTTGGACCATCCCAGTACAGATCCATGAAATGGACTTGCGTGGGTCATTATCGTGGTCTCTAGGTTTTCAGGTGAACTCGTGCAGGTTATTGCCATGGGATCCAGGCCCTCAGCTAGATTTTCTAGGTCTGTAGAGTGTGGACAGATTTCCTTCTTTCTTTGTTCTTGACCTCTTGGGTGACCGTTATAAATAATACTATAAATTATGTGTCCTGTATGTAATTGTTCTCCTTAAAACCCCTAACTACAGTAATGGAGTACTACTGTGTTGTAGAGAAGGATAAACTTGGGGTATTTCTAGGTAATGGATGCACCTTGAGATCACAGTCTTAAGTGAAATAAATGGGGTGCCTGTGAGTAAATACCAAACTCTTTCTGTGGTGTGAGGAACCAAAAGTGTAAATAAGGACCAAAATGTAAATAAGTATTGTGAAATAGGAAGAAAATATTCAAATGGGGAGAGGAACAAGAGAGGCAGAGGGAGCCCAGAAAGAAAGGAAAAGTTAAGAAAATGAGAAAAGAAGGAAAACATGGAAACAAAGCTTTTGTATATGGGAAAGAGGGCGGTTGAAGGGAAAAAAGAATCAAGTTATATCATATACAGGTACAGATTCTTCATGATGAACGCAATCATTATGTATCTCTAAAATGTACCAGTAAGGCTGGGCGTGGTGGCGCAGGCCTGTAATCCCAGCCCTCGGGAGGTTGAGGCAGGAGGATCCTTACAAGTTTGAAACCAGCCTGGGCTACAAAGTGAGCTCCAGACCAGTCAGAACTGCATAGAGAGACCCTGTCTCAAAAAAAAAGAAGAAAAAAAGGTACTAAGTGAGTGGGTTTCTGGGTTAGCCGTGCAGGAGGGCCGGAGAAAGCAGAGCTCCCAGGAGTGAATTCCCATCATGGAGATCGGCATCTTAAGGAAGGCCAAACTCCTCCAGCACCTCGCTCAGCCCTCTGCTAAACCACTGGAGTCTCAATGCAAACACTTCCAGCATCCACTGCCCTTCAGGCTGGGGAGCAGGGGCCCTGGGCAGGGCCGAGCAGGGGAGGGGAGGAGGCGCTGGGCCTGCATCTCGGCTCCTTCTGGGCAAAGCACTGCTCTTCTTGAACCTCGGAAGCTGGCAGAACCACATCCTGGTAGTATCTGCCCACCAGCTCTCCCCGTCCCCTGCTCGGGCTGGCACCACTGCCCTAAGGTCTACACCCCAGCTGTCCCGGGTCACAGAGCCCCTGGTCTCTCCACCAGCAGCATCCTCTCTCCCTGGGGAGCGAGGAGCCCGATGCCCAAGGCCCCAGGCAACCCAGGTGCTTGTCCAGGGACACAGGGTCCGGGCTCTCCCGGGAAGCTGCTGCCCGCCCCTGCTGGGGACAGTAGCCCTCCTCCTCTCCTCACCACATGCAGCTGGAGTTTCTGTCGCTCAGACCGTCCTTCAGTTTACACACCAGCATAGCTGAATGGGGACGTGGTTTCAATATCATTTTGGCCAATAATGCTGCCCAATAGACAAGGTGGCCCCCCACAGCCCTCCCCTGCCAGGCCACTGCTTCCTGTCTCCAGCGTCACCCAGGTCCCCTCGGCAGCACCTTCCGACATGGCCTGGCTGCAGCTGCTCCTCTTCATCTCGGTCCATCCAGGTGACAGGGTTTGCCCAGGGTGCTGAGGGGAGGGGGTGCAGGGAGGGCTGGCCCTGAACGGAACGCCAGGAAGCAGGCTCTGGGGGCTGAGCACTGCCAGGCAGCGGTGAGCTCCTCGCCCCCGTAACACCGGGGAAGGTGGAAGGTTCCGGTTCACAGTCCCGCCAGGTCACCCCAGTGCCCTTACCCGTAAGACAGAACAGAAAGGACTAGGAAAAGGGCTGCAAGGAAAGATGGAGTTTAAAGAAGGGACCAGGTCTTTGGCAGATCTTTTTTAAGGGCATTAATTTGATGTTTAAGAAGTCTTGATACTCAGGAGGCTGAGACAGGAGGATCCATGTGAGTTCAAGGCCAGCTTACTGCACAGTGAAACCCTGCCTCAAAAAAGAGGTCTTGCTGGGTGTGGTGTCCACGGCTGTAACTCCAACACTCTTTTTGGGGCTTTTCTTTTTGAGACAGGGTCTTACTACACAGTCCAGCCTGGCCTTGAACTCACTTTGTAGCCCAGGCTGGCCTCAAAGTCGCATGGATCCTTCGGCCTCAGGCTCCTGAGTGCTAGGGTTACAGGTGTGCACCACCATGCCCAGCAATCCTATTACTCTGGAAGGCTGAGACAGGAGGATCCAAATTTGAGCCCTATTTAGCTACTTGTCTTATAAAATAAAAGTAAAGGACTGAGACACTGCTTACTGCGAAGGCCCTAGATTGTCCCAGTACAGCCAAAAGAAAAAAAAAAAAAAAAAGCTAGGCTGATTAGCTAGAATCTAGATATATAATTAGCAATTTGGGAACTCTAAGTCTGAGATAACTTTTTTTTTTTTTTTTTTTTTTTTGGCTTTTTCGTTTTTATCGGTACCGGGGATCGAACTCACGACTGCCTGCTTCCAAGGCAGGTGCTTATGCCGCTGAGCTAAACCTCCAGCCCCGAGATAACTTTTTTTAGTGAAGCCAATTTTAATTAATTGAGGGATCTTAGGTGAATTTGTAAACGCAGGACTTCTCAAACTGTGGGCTTCTGACCCAGCTTCAGGAATACCAGAAAGGGGGATTGGAGGGATTCCCAGAACCCCAGCACACCCTGGGACCATCCAGGCCTGTTGCACACTGCACAGATGTAGTCCTGCAGCTCAAAAGAACAAAACCAACAAAAAGCCAGATACTTCATGTAATTCTGGGTAATTCTCATAGGTACTTGAGTTTGAAAATCGCAGAAATAGGCTGGGGATTTAGCTCAGCGGCATGAGCACCTGCCTTGAAGCAGGCGGTCGTTGAGTTCGATCCCTGGTACCAATAAAAAAAAAAATCACAGAAATAGAATGACTGGTAAAATTCCTAATTAGAGATTGTTTGTTTATTTTGGAGACAGGGTCTATGTAGTTCAAGTTGCCCTTAAACTCACTGATAGCTCAAGCTGGCTTCGAACTTGCAATAATCCTCCTGACTCAGCCTCCCAAGTGCTGGGACTACAGACAAGTGCTACTGTGCCTGGCTCTCAGTAGAAAATTTAATAATTGCTTTAATTCATCAATATGGATACGTTAAACAGATCTCAACCAGCCGCAGGTATGTCTTCACCTGAGAATTCAGTTGATGTTCTAAGAGAAGACAGTTAAGTAGCAAGGATGGTAACAGACTGTCGTTCTGAAATATTAGCTAGAACCATCTAACAACAGGACCTGTTAGCTAGGCAGCCACCTCCGCTTGTGCGCTTCAAGGCCAGGGGTTGGACAAACCTCAGAGACATCACTAGTGCAGGCAGCTGGGGAGGGGTGGGACAGGGTGAGGGTGGGAGTCGGGGTGGGAAGGAATTTGAAAAATGATTTAATTAGCAATGTTAAGAAATTCAGTCGGTAGAGGAAAGGGTTTAATGAGCCACCCAAAGTACTCGTCCTGGCCAAGTGTGGTGGTGCCGGCCTGTAATCCCAGCACTGGGTAGGCTGAGGCAGGAGAACTGCCTCCTGCCATGAGTTTGAGGCCAGCCTGGGCTGCATAGCGAGCTCAAGGGGGGCCTGGAAGACACAGACCCTGTGTCAAAAAGAAACAAAACACAACAACAGTGCCTGTCCCTCTGTGCCCCGGAGGTCTTTTCTCCCAGGAGTAGCCAGCAGGTCCCCGAGGCTCTGCTCTCTGCCCACAGCATCCTGTGACCTCCCGGTGTACCAGGTCGCCGAGGTCCACGCGCGCGAGGGCGCCCCTGCCCTCCTGCCCTGCTCCTTCAACGCCAGCCAAACCAGGCCGGCCATCGGCTTCGTCACGTGGTACCGAGACACGGTGGCCCCGGGAAACGAGGTGAAGAACGGGACCCCCGGGTTCCAGGGCCGCCTGGCTCCCCTGGCCTCCGCGCGCTTCCTCGGCGAGCACCAGGCCGAGCTGCGCATCCGCGAGGCCCGGCGCCCGGACTCCGGCGTCTACGTGTGCAGGGTGGAGGTGCTGGGGCTGGGCGCGGGGACGGGCAACGGGACCCGGCTGCGGGTAGGCGGCGGCCAGGTGCTGGGGGGCCGTGACCGCCACCCCGGGACCCCTGTTCCTGCGGGGCCCCGCGCCCCGGCCCCCGCGCTCCTGCTGCGCGCCGCGCTCTTCGCCGGCTGCTTCCTGGCCGTGGCCGCGGGCAGCGCCCTGTGCTTCCCGAGTGGAGGTGAGGACGGCGGGGCGGGGCGGGGCGGAGCGCCCTGGAGGGGAGGGGAGGGGCGGAGCGCCCTGGAGGGGAGGGGAGGGAAGAGAGAGGGGCGGGACGCCCTGGAGGGGGGGAGGGGCGGAGCGCCCTGGAGGGGAGGGGAGGGGAGGGGAGGGGAGGGAGGGGCGGGTCGCCCTGGAGGGGAGGGGCGGAGCGCCCTGGAGGGAAGGGGAGGGGAGGGAAGGGGAGGGAAGGGGAGGGGAAGGGAAGGGGAGGGGCGGGGCGCCCTGGAGGGGGGGAGGGGGGAGCGCCCTGGAGGGGAGGGGAGGGGCGCCCTGGAGGGGAGGGGAGGGGAGAGGAGGGGAGGGAAGGGGAGGGGAGAGAGCGGGCACGCTGAGCCTCCTGTGTGGTCCTTCCCTCCAGGCCGCTGCCGCTGTCGCCGCGGCTCCCGGGGACACAGCTGCACCGCCGTGCCTCCGCTCCCACCTTTGAAAAGTGACCCCAGCCCCCGCCACTCTGTCCTCTTCAAGACACCCCAGTAAATCCTGCCCCAGCGCTACCTCCTGCTCGAGTCTCCAATGTTGTTTACTCTCCAGTTCCCCAGCTCAGTTCGTTGGGTTTTTTTGAGACAGGGACTACTGTAGAGTTCAGGTTGGTCTGGAGCTCACTGGGCAGCTGTGAGCCTCCTGTCTCAGCCTCCTGAGTGCTAGGATCACAAGTGTGCTTCCCCTAGCTCTTTTTTTTGGTCTTTTTTTTCAGACAGGGTCTCGCTATGCAGCTCAGGCAGACCTCGAGCTCACTCACTTTGTCGCCCAGGCTGAACTTGCAAGGATCCTCCTGTCTACCTCAGCCTCCCAAATGGTGGGATTACAGATGTGTGCCACCACGCCCGGCTTCCCTCAGCTCTTAACTCTCCCTTCTGCCGGGCCTGAGCTGCAGAGGTCCCAGGAGGCAGTGGTGGCAATCAGGCGCCGGCCCCTCAGGCCACCACCCTGGAGCTCGGCCGCTCCCTGCTCCCCCAGACCCAGGAGGTGGAGGCCAGCTGAGAGGCAGATGACCAGCTCTGATTGCTCTGCCTGTCGCCTACCTGCTCCCGAAGGTAGCAAAGGACATGGGGAGCCTGGTCCCAAACACCCCTCTCCCCACAGGAAGTCCCTGCCCGGCCTCAGTGCGGGTGGGACACGGCGACGCTCAGGTTTTGTGGGTTCACTTAGAATAGACAGGGACCTGACAGACGCGGGAGGTGGCAAGATCTCGGTCTTTACTGGGGAGCCCGGGGCGACCCTGACCACCCAGGGTCGAGGGGCATCCCGGCGCTCAGGTGGGCCTTTTCTCAGCAATGCAGGCATAGTCGGTGCTGGCGTCCTCCTTCTCGGCGTCCCTGTGACTGCCGCCCCCGCTGCAGGCCGCCTGCGACAGGTGCCTCAGGGAGGCATAGTGCAGCTCCTGCTCCTGCGAGTCAGCAGAGGCACTGGCAGGAGGGCCCTGTGCCGCCCGCCCCAGGTGCCCGGGCTGCCAGCCCCCCAGGGCCCACACTTTGTTCTGGAGGCTGTTCCTTTGGTCTGCACAATGGGCTCCGTACTTGGTCCTTGGCCACTTCCCCAGTTTTTATTCTGAGCCAGGATCTGACTATGGCTTCCCACCCTCCTGCCTCAGCCTCCAGGAGTACCAGGATTTCCGGTATGAGTGCCACAGCGCCTCTTCTCTTCCTCTAAAGCTCCTCTCTCGCCTCTCACTTTGTCCTCCCACTTTTTTTTTTTTTTGTCTCTGCGACAAGGGCTCGCTATTTAGTTCAGGCTGGCCCGAACTCCAATCTTTTATTCCCTCCCACTCTTACTGTCTTACTCTTCTTTTGTTTCTGTCTCATTTCCGCTCATTTTTCAACGACTTGTCTCTCATCTTTCTCCTCATTCTCTTATCCTCTCCTTCTCCCTGTCGTTTTGTCCCTGATGCCCGGGCCCCCACCTTCTGTCCCCTCCTCTCAGCCCCAGAGTCCCCAGCCCCCGGGCACCCACACTTGCTGAGACTCACCCCGCTGCTCTCCAGCTTCCTCACTGCAAGGGAAGAAGCAGCTGGATCAGTGCCTGGGTCAACGCTGGCCAACCAGCCCCCAGCTGCCCACAGCCAGGCCTGGCCACTTGTGCTCCCTTCCCCCCCTGAGCGGTTGGGACAGGGCCTGGGGCCACCTCCCACTGTCCCCGTCATGGGATTACGGACCGCGCTGGCCAGGTGTGGCTGGCAAGCTGTGGTGACAGGTGACAGGTGACAGTTGACGGGCTATGGCTCACCTCTCTGCTTCAGCCGGCACAGGCAGATGGCCAGGATGAGGAGGAGCAGGAGCAGGAGCCCCCCCAGTGCCAGGCCCCCTATACAGAAAGCTTCGCAGTAAGCTGTGGAAAGATGGTGTTAGAGGGGATCTCGTGGGGGGGGTGTTAGCCCCCCCTTCAGGCTCCCCATCCTCCAGGTTGGTTGTGGGCATCTCGTTCCCTTCCTCAACAATGGGATGGCAGAGGCAGAAAAGTAGAGTCTTCAGGGAGTTCTTGTCCTCACTTTGCACCTCACTGCCCAGAGTCGCACATCCCTCACACACAGGCCCCTCTCCAGGACAGCGGTCCACGCGGGCCTCCCCCGGGCTCCTGGGAGCCCTGCCCTTGACCACACCCCACCTCTCCCCGGGGTCCTGGCCACCCGGTGGCCCCTGTGCAGAAGGCTGGGCTGTACTTACACAGCAAACAATACTCACTGCCCATCGCAAGCTGACCTTAGGTGGGACTGAGCCAGCCTGGAGGTCACCTCTCCTCACCCAGCCCCTTGTGCTCAGCCTGGTGGCCGGAGGTAGTCACATGCACAAGTTCCTTGTCTGTGGGGCCTCTGTGGCTGTCCTGCCCAGCGGAGGGGCCTCACCTCTGTGCTAACCCCGCGCTGGGCGCTTGTCGTCACCAACCCAGATGGTGTAGGACACCATGGGGCCCATTTCCCAGAAGGGGGGTCAAGCCTGGAGGCCAGACTTTCATGAGAATATCCAGCCGGAAGTGGCAGGGTTGGGGCTCAAGGCCAGACGCTTCCCCCAGCCGGCTGGGCAGTCAGGAGAGGCCTCTCCGGCCCTGGGTAGTTCTGGGCGCCACAGTGAGAGGGTCACAGCAGGAGGAGGAGTTGGGGACTGGGCCTGGGGACCTGGGGGGGTACTAGGACAGTGTCCAGTGCTCCTCAGCTACAGGCCGGGAGCATAGGCTCCCCACTTGACAGATGGGGAGAAGTGGGGCGTGGGGAGCCTGGGGCTGGGGACTTCCTCTCAGGCATTTCCTGCCTCCAACCACGGGTTCCTGTTTGAGGGCAAAGTGGGGGCCGCTGATCTCCCCCAGCACTAGGTCCCTGACAGCAACCTGAGACAGAGACTCCTGGGTTGAGAGGGACGCCGGGGCGTGAGAGGAAGCAGAAGCTGGAGGGCAGAACTACAGAGGCCGCGGGGGCGGAGGGGACAGGAGTGGATTCCCTACTTTTTTTTTTTAGTTTTTATTTTAGAGAATAAAACCTCACAAAATAAAACCATAAAACAATAAAAACAAAACAGTGAAAGTGGTACAGAACTTCCAAACAAGATAATAGGAAATCAACAATGGCTAACATTAAGGGGTTTTCTTTTCCTTTATAGTCTAGGCTGGCCTTAAACTGGCTATGGAGCCTGGGCCGGGCTTGGACTCAGATCCTCCTGCCTCAGCCTCCAGAGTGCTGCAATGACAGGTGTGCACTTCTACGACCACCCAGAAATGGATGTGTTTTCATTTCTTGGGGAGCAGAAACTTACAGGCAGGACAGGGGATTCCTCCAGTGCCCCTTACCCACACTGTGCCTCCCTCCTGCGAGCCTCCCCTCTTTAAGGTTTCCCCACCAGCAGCCCTGCTCACTCTCATAACATAGAGCTGCAGCCTGCAGTGGGGCACACTCAGCTGGCCAGAGCCCCTGGGACAGCAGTGCAGCCACCTCTCCAGTCCTTACCTCCTGGACCCCGAGAGGCTGGAGTTCCAACAGCTTCCCTTTGAGGCCCTGAGCTATGAGTCCCCCCGGTGGGTGGTCTGCTGGCCACTTAATAAGCAGGGGAGGAAGCTCCACCCCAGGCCCTGATGGTACATGAAAGACACCACGGTGATGCTGAGTGGGCTTTGCAGCAGAGCTGTGGACTCCCAGAGGTCATCCTGCCAGAGAGGCACAGTGGGGGGCTCGGGACCAGGGGGACATCACAGAGCCAAGGCTCTGCGGAAAGATGGGGGGGGAGCCTCACAGTGGCCCTGTGTGGCAGAGGGAGCGGGGTGCTGGGTGGGGTCGGGGGAAAGACAGAGCCAAGCAGCTCACCTGGATGAAGGGTGAGGAGGAGCCTCACCTTGGTCCACAGGCATCTGGGTGTGTTTTCTGAATTCCAGATTTTTCTGCCACTTCCCACCCCATCTTCAGTGTTCCGCCCACAAACAATATTTAAATGTGTGATCATTTTTAATTTTATTATTAAAAAGTTCCACTCCAACTTAGAGAAAAATTGGAAATTGTACACCAAATGGATCCCTACTACCTAGATTCTTTTGGTACCAGGAATTGAATTCATGACCTCAACATTTGCCAGACAGGTGCCGTGCTGATGAACCATATCCCTGGCCCCTACTATCTAGATTCTATAATTAATATTCTTCTATATTTGATTTATCATATGTATTTATTAGTTTTAATTTTGGGGGGCCAATTTTTTTTGGTACTGGGGATCGAACTCACAACCATGTGCTTGCAAGGCGGGTGCTTATGCTATTTGAGCTAAATCTCCAGCCCATGGGCGTTTTTTGAGACAAGATCTCATTATGTAGTTCAGGCTGACCTCAAACTAGAGGCATCTTTTCACCTCAACTCCTGAGTTCTGGGATTACAGGCATGGGCCGCCACACCCAGCTTGTCATGTTTTATCTTTCAAAACTGCAAACATTTGTGACAAGCCCTCTCTAAACCCTTAACACATTAATCATTGCCTGGAGTTCAGTATTTGCTTTTCCATTTCTCCTTTTTTGCCTAAGGAAGACAAAAATTTACATAGTGTAAAATGCACACATCTGAAGTTAGTACTCAAGTTTCTAGGGGATCCAAGCCAGAACAGCACGTGTACTGGGCTGCACCACTAACCTATCTCCCGCCACCCAGGATTTCTTCTCTTCAGCTCTGTTTCTAATCTGGCTATGTTGTCACCCAGGCTCTGATGCCTGAGCTCCAGGGAGTTCCCACCTCAGCCTCCGGAACACCAAGCCTGAGCCCCAGAGTTCTTTATGCCTCTGTGCCTCAGTTTCCTCCTAGGACTTTTGTCAGGATTAAGATGATTATTACAGAGGAAGTATATTGATCAGTGCTCATCACGTGTCCCGTGCTATTTGCCTGTTAGCTGTGTTATTATCATTACTACCCAGAGTGGTCGCCAGGAAGGGGGGTCTGGGACCACCTGCACGTGCCTGGGCCCGTAGCGCAGTCCTCCCACGCTGCCTACCTCTAATGTTCATTTGATGCTCGATGTGTTGTTTTGCTTAGTCATTCTTTGTTCTGCTGCTCCTAGGCACTCAGCAAACACTGACCCATAGATGGGCTCCTAGGCTGAGGCTCTCTGAGGGTGGGCTGTGCCTCCAGGCTCTGCAGCAAGAGCTCCCCGCTTCCCTCCTTCCTCAGCTACTCTGCCTTTTCCCTCAGGGCTCTGAGATGAGCTAGGAAAAGGGAAGAGGCTGCTAAGAGTGCTGACACGGGGCCTCTCCCTCAAGACCCCAGCTGTAGTCCTCCTACATGGGCCCTTAACCTCAGGGCTATGTCACCACGCCCCTAGTCACCACAGAAGAAGCCCACATCGGAGCCCTATCATCGGAAACAGCCAGCCTCAAGCCGGGTGTGGTGGCCCACTCCTGTATTTCCAGCACTCTGGAGGCTGAGGCAGAGGCAGGAGGGTCGGTGCAAGTTTGAGACCAGCCTGGGCTAAAAAGCAAGCCCAAAGCCAGCCCTAACTGTACATTGAGACTCTGTCTCAAAAAGGCAACAAACAAAAACGAACAAACACACACAGCCAGTCCCACTGCCCAGCCGTCTGCAAACTGCCTTGGCCTGTCTCACTGCCCACTGACTGCGGGCCTGTAAGGCCCCTCCAGCTCCTACCCTGCACATGTGCCTCTACCCCAACTGCTTCCCCGGTTCAGAGAACCCAGGCATCCAGCTGCCCGAACCTAGCTCTGGGTAAACAGGAAGCCGGGTGAAGGGTGCAGGAAGGGGGTGCGGAAAGTCCCACCCAGGTGTGTGGGTCTACGGGGAGGAGGTGGCCCCAACCCTGAGGTATGAAAGCCCCTCACCCTGGCCCTGCTTCAGAGTCTGCATGGGGGACCTGGGGCTGCAGGGCCGGGACCGGAGGCCCCGGGGGAGGGGCTGCCTCCTGCTGGCGGTAGCAGGAGCCACAGCGCTGGTGACCCTGCTGCTGGCGGTGCCCGTCACCGTCCTGGCAGTGCTGGCCTTGGTGCCGCAGGAACAGGGAGGACCGGTGAGTGGCTGCAGCGGGCCCCGAGGGCCGGGTCCCGGCAACGCTCCTGATTCCTGTGCCTTCAGTCTCCCTGGCTCAGCTGGCGGGCTGTACCCGGTGGAAGGAACGTCAGTCTCCCCGCGGTGTCCCGGTGCTTCCAACCCGCTTCCCGGCTGGCTGTCTGCTCTTCCCTGACACCAGCCTCTGTCTCTTGCTTCGTTTGCGCGCCCTTCCAGGGAGATGTGTCTCACCGCCGAGCCCGGGGCTTAGGTCCGCGCTGGGAGGGGCGGGAGTGGCATCAGCTGAAGCTGAGCTCTGGGAGCAGTGACCCTCCCTCCTCCCAGCAGGTAACGGAGACCCCTGGCCCAGGAGCACAGGCCCAGAGAGGACTGGGTAAGAACGACGTCGCCCCGTCTGCTCTCCGTCCTCCCAGCGACCCCAGCTCCCGCTGCAACCCCATACCCTCCGCCTGCAGAAATCCAGGCTCCCCAATCCTGGACTCCGTCCCGGGAGGGGCAGGGCGCACTCGTGGGTGGCTGCCCTCCCCCACGCACGAACTCTTCTCGGGCTGCAGGGTTCCAGGAGCGGCAGGAGGAGGCGCCGGACGCAGACTCCAGCCCCGTGCTCCCGGCTGCCCACCTCATAGGTAATAACCCTGGGCAGACGGGATTCGCATTTGCAGGCCAGAGGCCGGGCCTGCAGCCCACGGCGAGATCCCCAGACCCCGAAACCCAGGGCTCCCCCAGCCGCAGCCCTAGACGAGCGCTCCCTCCCTGCCCCTCGCCCCCAGGGGGCGCCCCGGCCGCGCCTGAGCCCCTCCCGCTGTCTCCGCAGGCGCCTGGACGCAGGGGCGCGGGCTCGGCTGGGAGGCGCACAAGGAGGAGGCGTTCCTGCGCAGCGGCGCGCAGTTCTCGGGCGCGCGCGGGCTGGCGCTGCCGCGGGACGGGCTCTACTTCCTCTACTGCCACGTGGGCTTCCGCGGCCGCGCGCTCCCCGCCGGCCCGCCCGGCCCGGGGCTGCCGCTCACGCTGCGCTCGGCGCTGCTGCGCGCGGGCGGCGCCTACGGGCCTGGCGCGGCCGAACCGCTGCTGGAGGGCGCCGAGACCGTGAGGCCGGCGGCGGGGCGCGCAGCCGCGCCGCTCTGGTTCACGAGCGTGGGCTTCGGCGGGCTGGTGCGGCTGCGGCGCGGCGAGAGGGTGTACGTGAACATCAGCCACCCGGACCTGGTGGACTATCGGCGCGGCAAGACCTTCTTCGGGGCCGTGATGCTGGGCTGAGGCGCTGCGAGCCTGAGCAGTGGGAGCCGCGGGGCGCAGTCTGGAAGTTGCTCCCGAGCCTCATGAGAATAAAGACTGGCCTCCTGGGGCGTGCTTGGCTCTAGTTCGGTGGTCTCCTATTTGTTCCTGGTGCACGAAGGCATTGGTGACCCTCAAAAGCCTCTGCTCCCAGAGGTGGTGGTTGCCCGGCTCAGCCCTCCCTTGCAAATCTGGCCCGAGGCGCCTCGGGGCCACAGTCCCCACCTCCAGATCTGCACCTCCCCTCTCCCCCAGTCCTGTCCCGCCGCTAGCTAGCTGGGTCATCCTAGGGAAGTCGAAGCTCAGATTGGCACAGTGGAGCCTCCAGTGTGGTGCTGGCTGGTCCAGCAACTGTCCCCTGGCTGATGCCTGAGAGTGGTACCCCTAACCACAGGCAGCTCTCTTGGAATCCTCGCAGGGTTTAGAGGGGCACTGGAGGAGATGGCAGCGTGTGGGCTCTGCAGACACAGGCAGGGTGGGGGAAACAGGCCGCAGGGGTGGAGGGATGGAAAGTCCTCACCCTGCATTCCTGCTCACCGGCCTCCTTCCACAGAGCAGGCAACTGTGAGTGGCAGGACTTGCCCCACACTATGACCCACTTTCAGCCCAGGCTGGAGGAAGCAGAGGGGGACCTGAGGCCCTATCTAGGTCACCGCAATGGGTCACCCCATCTTGGCAGCATACCACACGGTTGGTTTTCCCCTGCCCGGCAACCCACCACACAGAGAAGTTTGACTTCTGTGCCCCATAGGACTTCTTTTTCTTTCTTTTTCCTTTTTATCTGTACCGGGGATCAAACTCACGATCCCCTGCTTGCAAGGCGGGTGCTTAGGCCACTGAGCTAAATCCCCAGCCCCTTTTTTTGTCTTTTGAGACAGGGTCTCACTATGCAGTTCAGGCTGGCCTTGAGCTCACTTTGTGTAGCCCAGGCTGGTCTTGTACTTGCAATGATCCTCCCACGTCAGCCTCCAGTTCCCTAGTGTTGGGATTACAGGCCTGAGCCACCATGCTGCCTGGGGCTTCCTTTCTTTGGGGCTCCTTTCTGGCTCCGTGTTTGTCTTGCCTGTTTCTTTCTTTTGTCTTGGTGACCCTCTTGTCCTCCTAACTGCTGGGGTGACAGGTGTGCACCAGCAGCCCAGGGTCTCCTCTTTGACTTTGTGTCCAGAGGATCTGTCCCGTGGGGTAGGCGGGTTGCAGTGAATTTCTGCTTGACCAAACCTTAGCTGGGCTTCTGGGTCTTCTGTTTCTATCTGTGCACTTCCTTGTAAAATCGAGTTTTAGCAAACAAGCCTGAGAAGTCAATTCTACAAAGACCCCTCCCTTGAAATCCCATCACCTCCAATGTCAGGTGTACTTCCTCAGCTTACACCCTGCACCAGGTGGCGGCTGATCACCCCTGATGTCTCAGCAAGCGCCCTGTCTTAGCCAGGGTCCCCTCACCCCTGTTTCTTCTCTCCTCTTAGTCATTTCCATCACCTGACCCCCACCCTTCCTTGACTATCAGTTCCCTAAGAGCCCAGTCTCAGTTCCCAACTGCGTTGTCCCTGTGCCAGTGAGCATCACCTGGAATAAAGTCTTTATGATGTTCTATCAAGTACCCCAGAACCATGGGGCTGTGGGGTGTGTGTGTGTGTGTGTGTGTGTGTGTGTACGTGCTGCTGAGGATTAACCCCAGGGCTTTGCATTTGCCTTTTAGTAATTTTTTCTTTATCAAGGATGCTTTTCTCTTTCCAGTCTCCTAGCTCATATCTCTCCCCTTATCCAACTCTAAAACAATCAAGACATCAAGATAATAACTGGGTCATTCACCCACATCTTACCCCTTGAGGTTTTTTGGGTTTTGTTTTTGCAGTGCTGCGGGATGGAACCCAGGGTGTTCTGTATGTTAAATGCTCTTCCACTGAGCTAAACCCCCAACTCCTATTCTTGGTGTTTTTAAATTTTTGTTTGTCTCTTGATGTTTACCCGGAGAGGATGGGAGAGAGCCAGCTGGCTGCAGGATAAGGAAGTAGACAGAATTCACTGAGCACCTAACAGGCACCAAGCTGGACTCTGATGGAGCCTGGGCTCCTCTTCACCCAGGCCCCTGTGTGGTGGGCATCTTGCCTCCCTTGGCAGTTGAGGTTGACTGGTTCAGCTGCATAGTTCCGACGGGGCTGGGCGGGGTGGGCTGGGATCCAGGGATCTGAGCCCAGACACCTGAGTCTCTGGAAGTTCCTTGGCTCTGATTCAGGCACCTGAGAATGTGGTTCCTCCCGGCGCTCTCAAGGCACAATAGCAGTACTTTCCCAGCAGGGATTTGGAATTCCCAGAGTGGGAACTTCCCAGGCCCTGAGGGAAAGGTAATTAGGTCTGGCTCCTGTTTCCTGGTGGACTGTGATAGACGGGACCCCTGGGCTCCAGCAGAATGAGGGCCTGCCTAGCCAGAGCATCACCCGGAAGCCAGAGATCTAAAGCCCACAGAGGTCTTCAGTGTGTGGCTGGCCACCCCCAGGGAGAGGCAGGTACAGATGAAGTCCATGCAAGAGAACATGTTTCTTTTCTAAGCAGTCTTTATTTCTCGCCACTGACCAGTAGGACGATTACAGACAACTCCCCTGGGGAGCAGAGTTTCAGCGATGCAGCGACAGTTGGTCACCAAATCAGATTATTAAGATACTGGATTAGATAAATAGTATGTTTTTTAAAAAGCAAAAGAAGGTTCAGAGGCCGAGAGGCCAGGTGGGAACAGTCTGCATTTCATTCTGTTTTCACAGAAAACATGTCTGACCCCGGACTGTTCCTCTGATGGGCCCTGGACACTCTAACCTTCCAAATAAATACAATCATCAGTAAATAAATAAATAATAAATAAATAATAAATACAAATGCAACCATAAATAGAGGGGCTTGGCCCTGTGGGGAGGGAGGGTTGGGCTCTATAGCTCAGGGAAGGTTCTGGAAGCATTTGAAGAGAGGAAGGCCTGCGGTTCACTGGTCAAGTTCTAGGTGAGGTCTTCCCAGGGGGTGTTGAGAACCTTCCTGATCCTCACATTCCAGATGCACCAAGTTGAATTCAGGGATCCAAACTGTGAGCCCCAGTGAGTTCTGGAAGCCCAGTTAGTTCTTGACGTGGTTAGTGAGCACCCCACGGTCTACACCAGGCATCCCTGCACCCTGAGTTCCTGAGCAATGGTATTGTTTCAAGTTTTAAGCTCAGGTTTTGGCCTTGACCCCTAATTCCCTTTCTGAACCAGGAGAAGGTGAGGGGACCCAACCGGAAGGACTGAGTGGCACAAGGAACTGGTGGGGGAAGGAGAAGGGATGGAGAGACGTCCGTCCTTCTCACAGGGCAATGACCCCAAAGTAGATCTGCCCGGAATCGGCAAAGTCAAGGTACTGAGGCAGGTTGACCTCAGCGCTGAGCCGGTCACCCTTCTGCAGCTGGAAGACGCCTCCCAGGTAGATGGGTTCATACCAGGGCTTGCGCTCAGCCCCTTCTGGGGTCTCCTTCTGGCAGGGACTCTTGATGGCAGAGAGAAGGTTGACCTTTTCCGGGTAGGAGACGGCCAAGCGGCTGACGGTATGGGTGAGAAGCAGGTAGGAGGGGCAGCCTTGGCCCTTGAAGAGGACCTGGGAGTAGATGAGGTACAGCCCATCCGAAGGCACCACCAGCTGGTTGTCGCTCAGGCCCATGCCATTGGCCAGGAGGGCGTTAGCACGCTTGCTGAGCCACTGCAGCTCCTCCTCTGCTTGCTGGTTTGCTGGGGGAGGGAGAAGTGAGTCAGTGTGACCCTGCTGGTTCCTATCCACATCCTGGCCCTCAAGTCCTGCCCACCACTTCCAGTTCCGGTTTCTTCTGTCTTCCCACATCCCATTTAGTTGCAGCCCTGAAGCACCCCCTTTCCTCTCCCCTCCCCACACATCCCTCACGCCATCTCCAAGGCCCATCAGCTCTCGGCCCAGAGCAGCCCCACATCCTCTCCCTCTGTGTCCCAAAGCCCCTGCTCAGACAACTTACCCACAACATGAGCCACCGGCTTGTCATTATCGTTTTGAGAAGCTGATCCTGTGGAGAAGAGAGGAGAGAAAAAGTTGAGATCCTTGAACATCCCAGAAAATGTCTGCTTGGACTTCCATGGCTTCTTCCCTGAAACCCAAAACTCTTTAAATTTCCCCCGCTGCTTCCATGCCAGAACCAGCCATGCCAGTCCCACCCAGAAACAGGAGAGAGATGCTGGAGAAACTTACTGAGTGTGAGCGTCTGGGCCAGGGGTCTGAAGGGGGGGCCACTGGAGAACTGCTGGGGAGAAGGAGAAAGTTGTTAGCATCATGGAAGCTGCTTTCCCCGCCTGAGCTCTCGGGCCCTGTTCTCTCTCCATTCATCCACTGATTCATCCGCGCACCTGTGTATTCAGCGTCTCTCTCACTAACAACCCAGAAGTGCTCTGAGTGGGCCGGCAGCCTTTCTTGCCCTCTCTTATCTGTGTTCCCCTGAGCTCCCTTTATCTCTATCTCCCACATCTCTGTCTGGCCATCTTTATCGTTTATTTCTTCCCCATCCCTCTGCCACATGCTGTATCTCTCCCGCATCTCTCGATGGGTTTATCTTCTTACTCCTCCATTCATTCACTGGGTATGCAGACAGCGCGTTGGCTACCGCACCTGCCTCTCTCTTCCCCACCTCCCCACACCTCTTTCTGTCTCCTCATCTTCGGCTGACCCTCCCTCCTCACTGTCCTTCTCCCCAGGTCAGAGCGCGGGGGGCCAGGGACTCACCTCTTCCCGCTGGGGGCCGATCACCCCAAAGTGCAGCAGGCAGAAGAGCGTGGTGGCCCCTGCCACCAGCAGGAAGGAGAAGAGGCTGAGGCACCAGCACCGCCTGGAGCCCTGGGGGCCCCCTGCCTTCTTGGGGAGCTGCTCCTCTGCGAGCTCCACGTCCCGGATCATGCTTTCTGTGCTCATGGCGTCTTCTGCAGAGGGACCTCTGGAGTCTGGGGTGGTGTGTGTGAGAGGGACCAAACCTGCCTGTCTGGATTGTCTGGGCTTATTTCCAGGCCCTGAGGTGCTTCTTGCCCTCCCGGCTGGTCCCTGGTGTCCTCTCGGAGGGAACTTCTGCTGGCTGCTGTGGGACAGCTGCCTTTATAGCTCACGGCCAGAGGAGGGCGGGGAGAAGCTCTCATTCAACCAGTGGAAAACTTCCTCCGTGGAGAAACCCGTGAGCTCATCAGCAGGAAGCGGTCGTGGGTCCTGCACCTTCTGTCTCGGTTTCTCCTCCACACGGGGGCGGGGGTTTGGAAAGTTGGGGAGACCCAGGCATCCAGGATCCTCCTGACCTCCTCGCCCGGATGCTGAGGAGTTTCTTGGGCAGTTGCCACTGTAATTGTAGGGTGCTAGCAGTGGGACCCCAGTTCCTCCTGCCACTCATGTTGTTTGTTGGTTTGGGAGACCTGTTTCCCTCTGATTTCCACAAGGGATTCACAGGAGGACAAAAGGTAGCATGGGAAGGGAGTCTTAGCCAGTCATGACACTAAACACTTGGGAGGCTGAGACAGGAGGATCCTTGAGTGTTCCAAGCCACTCTTGGTTACATAGTGAAACCCTGTGTCAAAAAAGCCAAAAACAAAACAGAAAGTGGAGTCTCTGAGGGGGATACCACAGGGTGAGTCCCTAGGGAAGGAGCTGGGCATGGGACAGCTGAGACTGGCTGTACACACCAGGAGTCCAGAAGGCCAGGGGTGGGGGACAAGCCTGGGGCAGCCCCAGAGGGAGTGAAATCAGCCCTGGGAATCCACAGACCCCACGGGCCACCTTCTCCTTTCATTCTGACCCAGGTCTCGAGCTGCTGCTTTCAGTCTGGCTTCCAAGGAACCCTGAGGGCCTGCTTTTTCATGAAGGGTTGAGGCCTGTTCCGTGGCCACACATCCTCGGCTGTCCTCTGTGTCCCAAACCCAGTGGTTCCAGAGGCTCCTCATACTGCTCCTCCATGGGGATGCACTGCCCGGGAGCCCCCTACTCACAGCCTCCCAGAGGCCTCAGCCCCCCACTGCCTGGGTTCCAGCCCCATTTTCCCTTTGCCTCCCTGTCCCCCTGCAGCAGTCAGGCTGCCGGGCCCCTTCTCCCCTGGTCTTCCTGCAGCCCTATTCCCCGAGAGATCCAGCAAATTCTCTCCCGCCCCAGACAGACACAAGTGGACAGCATTTCAGAGGAAAGGTTTATTGGGCTCCATCCAGGGTGTAGGTGGTTCCTCATGGGTGTCAGGGAGATGGAGGCCACCAGAGCCCCTCAGCTGCCCAGACCCACCCCAGCTCTCTAGGCACTGCCAGCCTTCTCAAGTGCTGTCTCTGAGGCCCCTCTCACTGCTCCATAAATAAATAACTTAAAGTCCCCTTCATAAATAGTCCTCCTGCCTGCCTCAGTGTCTGGGGCCTGCCCCGCTCCCCAGCAGCTCCAGGCCCTGTAGGCCTGAGGTGCTCAGGGCTCCAGGTGTTGAGGGGTGGGGCTGGAGCTCCTCTGTCAAAGCTCCAGGGGACTTGGGTGGGGAGACTTGAGGCCGCTGAGGTGGGCAAAGAAGAGGCGGTCAGTGTGGAGTGGTCAGCATGGGGCAAAGTGGTGAGAGGGCCCTGAAACCCAAAATGATTCCCCTTTTTGGATTTTTCCAAGTTCTACAGAGCAAAGGCCCCAAAGAAGACGCTGCTGGGGCTGACGAAGAGGTAGGGGATGCCTTCTGTTTGGGTGGACAGCTGGTCTCCCTTCGTGAGCAGGAACACGGCGCCCTGGTACATGGAGCGCATCCAGTGACCCTCCAGGCCCGGGTCCACGTTCTTGTGGGCGCTGAGCAGGGGCAGTTGGAAGGAGTACCTGGAGGTCAAGACGTGGACCTCGTGGCTCAGGTAGAGCGGTTTGGGCGAGTAGCTGTGCCCTGAGAAAACCACCTGCGAGTAGACAAAGTACAGGCCACTGGCGGGGACCAGGAGGGAATTGTTGCTCAAAGAGAAGCCATTGAGGAGGAAGCCCTGGTCCGAGTTCGCTCTCCAGCGCAGCCAGTTCTTCGATCTGGGGTCTCCTAGGAAGAGCCACAGGGTGAAGGTGGGGTGGGGTCAAGGGTCAGGGTCAGAGGTCTCCACTCCCAGGAAGCAGCCCTGGACAGCTGAGTTCCTAGGGGATGGTAGAATAGGGTGGAGGCGGCGGTCCCTGTCTCTGGGGTAGGAGCCATTGGGAAGGGCGCACACTTGGGTCCCCGGGTGGGGACAGGGGGAGAGTTGGGACATTTACCGATGAGGTGAGCAGCAGGTTTGAGGGAGCCATAGCCCAAATGTCTCCGGGCAGTCTGGACAGCTGAGGGTGCCAGGCTGACACCGGGGAGTCCCTGGGGAGGAGAGAGTTGAGAAGTCTCCAGGGGCCGGGTCGGCTGGGCCACCCCTGCAGCCCCCACTGTCCGGCTGCCTCACCTGGGCCCCAGGCCACTGCAGAGCCAGCAGCAGCCCCAGGAGGAAGAGGAGGGGGGCACCAGGCACCCTCGGGAGGTAGAGGCCTCCAGGTGATGACATGGGGAGAGCCTGCAGGGAGAGTACGTGAGCGGGGCGGGGCGCACGGCGGAAGACGGGCCTCCCACCCGCCTGCGGTGTGCAGCCACGACAGCTGAGAAGGGGCCAAGCGAGACAGCAGCAGCGACACCGAGGTGAGGGGTGGGCGGGAGGAGAAGAGCCAGGAAGGGAGCAGAGAGGATGGCGCAGGGTCACAGACTGTGGCCAGCGGCAGAGAGACCCAGCCTGACGGATGAGGCCGTCCAGCCGGGAGCAAACCAAAGCAAACCCACCTGGGCCCAGCCGGAGGCAGGCGGCCGGGCCGGCGGAGGGGCAGGACGCCGCAGAGTGGCACAGAGGTGCCAGCGCCGGGAGACAGGCGGGAGAGTCTCACCTGCTGTGCGGGGCCCCTGGGCCCACAGGGACGCTCAGGTCCCTTTATAGAGGAAGCGGCAGTGACAGCGTGGCAGGCGGCGGGCGGGTTCTAGGTCGGGCTGGGGCCTGGGGAAGCCCCCAGGGCTTAGAAGATGCTGCCGTTCAGCCGAAGCAGGAAAGGCTGAGGCCTAGGAGAGAACCGCAGGCCGGGGCCTCAGCAACTGAGTTCTGGGAAAGCGAGTGGGGTCGGGGAACCGTGGGCCAGGACAGCCAGGGAGTGAGGTCAGGCCTGCGGCTTCCAGGGAAGGGACAGGCAATTCTGGGAGTCACAGGGGCAGCCACTGGACTGCGCGGCCTGGGAGTGCGGTTCCCCGAAGAGCCCTCATGCAGAACGCCTCTGCGCGCCTGGCGGGTTGCAGGCTGCTGTCTGCCCAGTTCCTTCTCTCAATCCCCGGCCCGTCCCAGATGGCTGAAGCTGTGCTCATCCTGGTGTGTTCAGATCAAGAAGCTCGCTTCATAGCCCCTGGCGGGGCTTCACAGCCACAGTCCTTGCAGACTCTGCAAGCTGTCCTGGCGTGGCGTGTCCCTTCTCCAGAGTGACTCCTGCACACAGAGGTTTCATTCCATCCCTGAAGGATGGCGTCCACTCCATGACCCACCAGATCAGACCGCCAGAACCCCACATCCCCAGAGTTCCCCATGATGGAGGCTGCAGGATTCCACACAGGAGGGCTGGAGCAGTGACCCAGGGCGGAGCAGCCAGCCCCTGCCTCTCCTTGAAGTTGCCTTTGCGGAGCCTACACACTCCCCCAGGGGCTGGAGGGGAAGCTGCACGGCTGCACTCCTGCCTGGGAAGTGTGAGGCCCTGGGTTCAGTCCTCAACATCACACAAATAAAAATAAAGTCACGCGGGACCATCTTTCTCTCCCCTCCGACCTCACGGCTGCTGGGGATTGAGCCAGGGCCTTGCACATGTTACGCGCACACCTCACCACTGAGCTGCGCCCCCAGATGTTTCTCCTTTATTGATGTGTGTTGTGGCTTGTGTCTCGATGTCCCCCGAAGCCTCATGCGGTCATAGGTGGGGCCTCTTCAGAGGCGGCTGGATCTAGTGTGTGTGATGCAGGGATTGAGTCGGTGCAGAGCTGGGCCCACCGGCGCTGGGACTGAGGCTGTGGGTGGCCCACCCTGGGCAGCCGGGACAGGATGGAAGGGGCAGAAGGACACAGTCAAGCTTCCTCTCTTGCTTGTTTTGTCACCTTCTCTGCCTGCGGTGAAGCGTTTCTCCCCTTAGGTGCCTGTCTGCCACGCCTCCCTGCCTCGGAGCCAGATGATTCTGGGCCGAAACCTCTGCAAAATGCGCTAAATAAACCTTTTCCCCTTGACTTTGGGTGTCAGGTGTTTTGTCTCAGCAGTGAGAAAAGTCAGTGCGACACAGTGTCACTGAGGTGCCCACCGCCGGGGTGTGTGGCTGGGGGAAATGGTTATCTCTACATGGCCCTGCGTGGTTACCCAGTTCCACACACTTTCGGGTCTCCAGTGGGTTTCCTGGGGGCCTCTCTCGGTCCACACCTCCACGGCAGCCACCTATGGCCTAGCTTCTATCAACAAGGGTTAGCTCTTCCTGCTTTTCAGTTTCATTTAAGTGAAATCAGACAGAATATACTCGGTTGTGTTTAACTGTTTTGATCAATCTCATATTTGTGTGATTCATCCCCATGGTTGGCTGCGTCGGGAAACTTTTTATTGCAATATAATGTTCTCTTCTATCAGTATGCTTCGGTGCTCTCTTGTATTGATGATAGGCATTTGGTTTTCAATATTTGGCTTATGAAAAACATTGATATGAACTTTCTTTCTTTTTGTCTTTTTGAGACAGACTTTCACTATGAATTCAGGCTGGCCTTGAATTCACTTTCGTAGCCCAGCCTGGCCCTGAGTTTGAAGTGATCCTCCTGCCTCAGCCTCCCGAGTGCCGGGATCACAAGTGTGTGCCACCATATTTGAGATATGAACAGTCTTGTACGTAAATTGGTTTTCACTTTTAAGTTACAGGTTTTAAAAAAGCAAAGTTTGTAAACATGATTTTATTCACTTTTTGTAAGATGGAGATACCACACTATCAGCCGGCTACTTCAGATAATACCCTTGTGCTATCTCGGTTTCACGGAGGGCGGTAGAGGGGCTGGGCCTGGTGGTGACAGAACCTAAGTCTGGCCCTCCCCCCTGGGCTGTGTTCTCAGCCACAAGGTTCCTGCGGGCCTTGGGGCCCTGACGCGTGTGCACAGGCTCCTCATCCTCTTTTCTCCTTAATTTGAGTTCTGCTAAGTCTGCCTGTCATCTTTTGCTACTCTTAGCTATTAGCTCTTTTCACGCTGTAGGGCTGGATGGTTCCCCTCACCCCTCATGAGTCGCATGCCCACAGTCCTACAAGGGCAGGTTAACCACAGAAAAGCATACAGATTTATTTAATCAAGCTTTTATGTAACAGAGGGGATTTCAGAAAGGAAAACCCAAGCCAGGCTTGGTGGTGCATGTCTGAAATCCCAGCACGTGGGAGGCTAAGACAGGAAGACCACAAGTTTGAGGCCAGCCTAGGCTAGATATTGAGACTGTTTCAGAACAAGCGAGCAAGACAAAGCAGGCTAAAGACCCCGGGGCCTAACGATGACCTGGTGTGTAGCAAGGTGACCAGGCAGCAAGGGTCTGCAACGTGGACTTAGCAGGGAAAATTCAGCTTCTTCTCGCCTCTCCTGGGCATTTCTCCTGTCTGGGTGTGGCGCGGGATGCCTCTGGACAGAGGCTCTTCCACCCACTCAGACTAGGCAGATGGGGGTTTCTTCATGGCCAGCTGTGACATGGCAGGGTGGGAGGTACACTCAGTGTCGCTCTGTTGTAGTTTGCATGCTGTGTCTTTGGGAAGAGGAATTCTAGTTCCGATTGCTTGTTTTGGAGAGAAAAAGGGGCGAGAGGCGGGCAGGAGAGGCTCAGAGAGACCTTGGTGTGGAAGCGGCTCCCGAGGGGCTGTTTGGGTGGACAGCTGGTCTCCCTTCGTGAGCAGGAACACGGCGCCCTGGTACATGGAGCGCATCCAGTGACCCTCCAGGCCCGGGTCCACGTTCTTTAGTCCAAGGTCCTTTAGTCCAAGGTTCTGCGTGCCCTGGGGCTGCTCCTCGGAGAGCTGTCTGAGGCCCCGCAGGTCTCATCCCGCCTCGAAGCTTTCTCTCAATTCCACAAACAACACCAAGCACCCCGTGCACAGAGCTGAGGGAGGCAGATGCACAAGATGGTTCTCTGATCTCGGGCAGCTCAGGGAAAACAGAATGTGACAGGTGCTTGACCATGGGCTGGTGGCGCCTACTGGGAAGCCACTGAAGCTGGCCTGGCCTTCCCAGAGGCAGGGAGGCTTGGCGTGGCCACAGGTGGAAGGAGGAGCACTGCACAGGCCGAGGTGGGGAGGAGCGGACCTGGGCACCGGTGTGCAGCAGGTCCATAGGGTGGGAGCAGAGGCCGGCTCCGAGGACAGTGAGAGGGCAACAGAGGGGTAAGAACAGAGTGCGAATCTCACTTAAACATGATGGCAAAGCCGCCAAAAGCTGAGGGAGGGCTGGAATGTAGGGCCTGGGCCCAGCGCGTCCTTTGCGGGAGGCCCTGAGTTCCTCCTCCTCCATCACTGTGGGGAGAAAAAAAGGAAAAGAAAATGAATTCCATGAGAGAGGAACCACTCAGGTGGGGCTGTTAGAAAATGAGGTAGGAGCTGGGGGAAGCGCAGCCAGGAGACCGGGCAGGAGGGGGTTGTAATGACCAGCCGGGGGACGCAGGGCCTCATACAGGGCTCACACACGGAGGCAGCAGGCCGTACAGAGCAGAGCGTTTCTAGGCGAAGTCTGTGAGTCTCTGTGGCTGTCCGGATGTGATGCAAGAAGGCCTCTTTCAAATTACTCCATTTGGATATTTTCCTAGGTGGGGTGGGACGGGGTGGGGCAGAGTCTCGCCATGTAGCTCAGGCTGGCCTTGAACTCGTGGGGATCTTCCTGCTCAGCCTCCCGTGTGCTCAGATCACAGGTGTGCGCTGCTGGTTAGTCTTTCTATCCTCATTATGGCTATGTCCCTTTTGACCCCTGTGCTCCTCTTCCCTGGGGCTTTATTTCTGTTGTTCCTTTCTTCCTCTCTGATCATGCCAGCAGGTGGACTGACCGACCCCAGCAAAGCCGTTCTACGGGGTAAAACAGTGTTGCAACAACGCTGAGACAGAGACCAGGGAGCTGGCGCTGAGGTCAGAGAGGAAGCCTGGGACATCGGGGGACAAAAAGGGAAAGGCAAGAGCTCTGGGGAGATGGGTGGATGCCAGCGGAAGTAAGGGCACAGCTGCTGGGCTCTGGGGCTGCTGGGGCTGCTGTCACGGGAGTGTGCAGGGCGCTGGAGGAGGCTCCCTGTGATGAGCAATCTTGGTTTCAATCTCAGTTTCAGAGGTTGTGTGAGGTTCGGTTTCTTTCTCGGAGGCTGGCAGTCCGCAGGGGCTTTCCCGGTGGGAGGCTGCTGGCTGGAGTCTTGTGCCCCAACGCAGGGAGACAGCGGTCCCCGCGGAGGTCTCCGTGGAGAAACCAGTGAAATCCCTGCAGCCCCGACCGAGGCCCACATGAGATCCAGATGTAACCTCAACCCCAAACACGGCTCAAATTCAACCCCAACGGGAACCCCAATCTCAAATCTAAACACAGCCAATCCACAAATCCCCAACACAGCATATACTCGACACCTGTGTGGGGTTAATCCGGAAACCCACTGACCCCATTCCTAACCCCAAACTTGAATCAGACCCGAAATGTAAGCTGTTACACCCTGCTGTTGACCTTCCCACTGCTTCACCTCGCTGTCCCTCCCTCTTCCCACTCCGAATGTACTGAGTACCGAGTACCGAGTAATGAGTACCGAGTGAGGCCCACCACGTGCCGGGCTCCTGGCAGGCGGCAGGGCGGCAGGCAGCGGCTTGAGGAAATAAGATGGGGTGATTCGGGGAGCGGCAGGGAACTGCTGTCCAACATGGCATGGCAATCAGTCTAGTTGTCTCCAAGAGACCAAGGGGAACTGGGGTCAAGACCTGGATGGCAGGAAGGAGGGGAGGAGGAGATGGGGAACAAAGCATTTCAGGCACAGGGACCGGCAGTGGCAAAAGCAGACAGGAGGGAAAAATAGAAAGCTCAGGAGGCCCCAGCAGAAAGAGAGAGGGCGCAGAGGGGCAGGGGCAGTGTGCAGGGCATGTGAGGAGGGGACGGCTCAGTTCTGTGCAGGACAAGAGTCATGCTGAGGAGAACAGGGGGTTCGGGGGAGCAGACAAACTTGGATGCACTTCGGCAGAGCTGACAGGCCTGCAGGGTGGGAGGACCTGGGGAGCGGGGAGGCAGGTTCCCAGCTGAAGGGGGACCCAGCGCCCCATCGTGGATGCATCAGGTCCAAACCCATTAGACAGAGTCTTAAGCTGTCACTCGGGCCCTGGATCTTTGAGTCTGCATTCCGAGGGTGAGATCAGAGCAGAGAGAGGGACCTGCAGCTGTCTGTGTGGAGAGGGGGTGCCAGGAGCTGGGGGAGCCTCAGCCTCTGCTTCTGCAGAGACCCTGGGGTTTGCATCTGGCAGCTTCCTTAGAGACAGCTCCATTCCCAGGAAAAAAAGCCTCCTGCTCATCCTGTGTGCCCCAAGACGCCTCCTCCAGTCTTTGTCTGCGAGTGTCCTGGGGCACCTCACAGGCTCAGTCCTCCCGACTCTGAGAGCCCCTCGCTGGCTCGGACCGCACGCCCCGCTTCCCCCGATGATGAGGCAGGAAGAAGGGGCAAGGGGTGAGGTGGTCGCTCTCCGCCGTCCCCCCACCATGGCCAGCCTCTTCCTCCCCAGCCCGGCCTTTGTGTTGGCCACATTCTTCCTGGCACCGACTCAGGCCTCGGGCCCCGCAGGGTGCTGGGAGATGCACCCAGTTTAGGCTTCTGCTCCTCAACTTTCTCAGCTCCGAGGGCTTCGCAGCCATTCTCTGCCCACTTCAGCCACCCGGGAAAGGCTGTGCCTTCAGCCTGTGTCGCGTGGCGTGGGAGGACAGGCACTTCCAGTGCAGCTCTGAACTGTCTTCTCTCAACCCGCACCCACCTCTCCCCCAAAGTCACGGGCTCCAGCTGCTTCTCTTCTTTCTTCTGGTTTTCCTTTAGCAGGTTCCACAAGCACGACTTCAGCTATGGGCGGCTTAGCATCTCTTCCCTCCTGGGTACTCTGTGTGGGGGACCTTGGACCCCAAGCCACATCCCGCGGTCTCCTGCCTGCGTCGTCTTCTCCTTGGCTGTGGAGCACACAGGACAGTGTGCCCTTGGGTGACCCTGGCCATCTGACCACGGAGGTCCTCGGGGCACCCACACACAGCTTTCTGTCCTTCTTTGTGGAACATGTTGTTCTCTTGTAGGTGACATCTTGTGTCTCCACACCCCTACGTCCTTCAGATGACCTTTCTGCTCTCAGTTGGTGATGTCACCTATTTTATGGAGCTTATGCCTCTCCAATGCGATCTCCTTTCTTCTTGCTTATCCCGGCACTTGGCGGTTTTTACTGACCCTTCAGTCTTTCCTGTTTACCTCTTTCTTTCTTTCTTTTGAAATGGGATCTTGCTATGTTGTTCAGGCTGACCTTGAACTCACAGCAATCCTCCTGCCTCAGCCTCCTAAGTGTTGGATTACAAGTATGCACCGCCATGCCTGGCTGTCATTTTTCTTTCCTATATTCTCCTCCATTAAAAACAATTAGAACTAAGATGACAACATGTAATCTATTAACTAGTGATTTCCTACTGTTTATTTTTTCTGAAATTCTGTATAACTTGTACCCCTTTTGTTTTTTTCTTTTTTCTCCTTAAATAAAATGTAAAAAAAAAAAAAAATTAGAAAAAAACATTTTGGAAGCCCAGTGTGATGGCGCACACCTGCAATCCCAGCACTCGGGAGGCTGAGCCAGGAGGTTGCCACAAGTTCAAGGCCAGTCTGGGCTATATCGTAAGACCTTGTGTATATATATTTTTCAGTATCTTTTTCTCTTCCTTTACCTTTCTTCCATTTACAAACATGTTCAACTTTATTTCTTGAGAACAGGCCCCAAAACATCCCTCCTGGCACTAGAATATCCATTCATCTCTCGCCTTCCCTTTCTGTGTTAGGGCTCGAGACACCAGACCCCCTGACTAACCCTTTTTCAGGAACTGGTAACATTTTCCCCATCGGCCGGCCGTGGGTGCAGCCAAGAGCCGACTCTCAGTCATCTTCTGCATTCGCGGTGCTGAGCGCAGCCTCCACCTCCTCCGCCTCCCTCCCACTCGCTCCCCCACCTGTGCAGAGCGGCTTCTGCGCCTCTGTTACACGGAAACGGTTTTCTCAAAATTTGTAATCGTCTTGTTTTTAAACTGAAAGGTCCTTTCCAACCTTCACCTCTCAGACCTTTTTTTTTTCACTACTGGGAAATGGAACCCAGAGAGGGCCCAGTTACTGTGCTAGCTTCTCCCTCCTTTTTGAGCCAGAGTCTCCTTAAGTTGGCCAGGTGGGCTTCAGGCTTGCAGTCTCCTGCCTCAGCCTCCCGAGGAGCTGGGCTGAGAGCCTGCTGAGCTCCAGTGGTGCTGGCTGAAAACTTCCCTGTGTCGGGCTCCACCTCCAGCTCAGCAGGCCGCCCTGAACCACTCTCCCAGGTGCAAGGTGCAGCTCCTCCGCTGTGGACCGTCGTTACTCAGATTTGTTTTGGTTGTGTGTGTGTGCACGTACGTGCGTGTGCGAGCTCTAAGACGGGCCCCCTCATTTATGCCTGCCGTCTCTCGGGGCGCTGCTCCTCACAGGTGCTTAGTCACCGTGCACCCCTCTCCTCAGGCCTCCCCTCTTAGTTCAGGCCTCACGCTCTGTCCAGCTCCCAAGTGTTTAGGAGGCATCTGAGATTCCTCTTGCTCTGTCCCAGTGTTTCAGGCAGCTGAGTTGGTGAGAAATATTATAGACAGTGAGACAGTTAACCATAGTGATACAGGGGAGTGAAACTCCCAGCCCCCTGTGTGTCCAGTGCGAGTTTGTGTTCTCTAAAATGGAAGAACGAATTTTAGGGACAACAGAGGTTAAGAGCAGGATATAAATATTGAGAAAAAGAAAGCTTCGGTCTGAGGGACAGCAGGGGTCCCGAGCGGGTTAGTCTTGGTCTCTTCCCCTGGGGGGTTGGGATGGTGACTCCTGACTTCCTCGGGGTGACAGGGACCTATTTAGAGTATCAGTCCTTAGGATGTAGGTGCATTTGTCTATTGTCCTGAGACCTGGCCCTCAGAGTTGCAAGGTGTCTGGGCTTCTGCTCCGGCTCCTTGGAGGACCCAGCACTGGCTCACTGCCTACAGTATTTCTAACTAACTCCGTTGCCTGCTACATCCTGCCTCTGAAGAAGTTCCCTGGATTGCTGTGACCCATCTGGCTCTTTCAGGCTGAAGGGGGAAGTAGTTGTTAAAAGGCAGTCAGAGCTAACTTCTGCAGAGATTTTATCTAGGGGCCTCACAGATGTCGGGCATCTTTATCTTTTTTTTTTTTTTTTTTTTTTTTGATACCAAGGCTGGAAGTCATGATCTTGCGCCTGCCAGGCAGGTGCTTATGCTGCTAAGCGAAACCCCTGGCCCTGGGCATCTTTAAATCTTGGGTAGATACACAGTTTTAAGTCTGGAGGGGAAAAAAAGCAAAGAAACAACTAAGTATGCATCGGCCAAATAGTAGAATTATTAGGATAATTGTGAGCACAAAGATTTCCACCTAGAGGAGCTAGTGATGGCTTCCCATAAGGAGTAAAAAGACAAGACCCAGGGGGATTTTAGAGTCTGATGTGTTGTTAATTTGTTGTCTAATGTTTTGAAAGCTACTGAGATATTAGCAGAAGAATCAGGAATGTATACACAGCACTCAGTTTTTACAGTTGCACAAGTGACCCCTGTGCTGCTGTCAGGATGTCTGATACCATCAGATTTTAGAGGACAGCCTGTCTCATTAATTTTATTTTTTATCTAAAAGAAAGAGATCAGTTGCAGTGTCATTTAAGACTCATTGGGTACAGTCAAGGCCTCAATATCTATATCACATAACTCTCTGGACAGCATCTGGTGATCCCAGTAGGAAGAATCTGAAAGGAATCTAGCATATTATTGGTTTCATCTACATGATGCTTTGAGGTTTGGCATCTTTCGGCAACAACAATTTTAATCAAAGCTTGTAGAATCAAAGTTAGTCTAAAAGGTATAAATAATCAAAGCATGAGCAGTAGGGCTGATAGTTAAGTTTAGAATCTGTTTCTAAGTTACAGCAATTGTAACTCATTGGTTCTTGGGTCCTTTTATTGATGGAGGCTGACATTTTGTCACAAATTCTTCTAGCTTTAGCTATAATTATCTCTAAATTTTTGATAATGTAGGATTATTTATTTTGAAAAATGAAACTCTTTTAAATTTTTATATATGAACAACAATGTGCACTATGTTCGTAAAAACCAGTCTCAGCATCATTTGATTAGTTGGTAACTTGGATATACATTGCAGCACAAAACCTCTCCAGCACTGCAGTCGGGCTTTTAGGCATAACTAAAACAGTCAGTGAAGAGAAAGTCATCCACTCACAGCTTAAGCAGCCTGTATTTTGGTGGCTGCGTTGAGGTACAGTGCCTGGAAGGAAGGCCAGAGCTGAGAAGGACAGGCCTGTGCCACGTTCAGCAACCGGCTGACTTTTTAACCTCTCGTCAGGGTTACTGGGGGCCCCTCTGGGAGGGGACAGGCAGAGATGACAAGTCTGGCCAGAGAGGAGACAAGTGCCCCGAGATCCTTAGTCCTGCTGGATCAGCTGATAGGACAGGCCAGGATGGGTCTGAACTCCGGGGCCTTGGCCTCAGAGGGCAGGCAGTCTGACCTTCAGTGGTCCCCTGTGCAGTGGGGCATGGCATGGGTGCTTTTTAAGGCAGTCCCTCCCAAAGTGGCCTGGCTTGTGGCAGCGATAGCAGGTGGGTGTCATCATCCAGTTCTTCGTGAAACCCTGAGAATCAGACTTAAGATCTGTGGGTTCTTTTTCTTTTTCTTTTTCTGTTTTTGGTCCTAGGGATTGAACTCATGACCTGGCACTTGCCCGGCAGGCACTTTACCGCTCAGCTAAACCCCGGGCCCGAGGTCCATATTTTTTAAGGCCACAATAAAGGCAGCCATTCCGTTTTCTCTCTCTGGTTTTCTCCCAGTCCTGATTACAGAGTACTAAGGAAGCTGTTTTTACTAAGTATCAAGTGAACTGTCTGGAGCAAAGGCCATCTTTCATAGCTTTTTCTAATATCTGTAGTTCACTGAGTAATAAACATATCTTTAAGCAAAATCTGTCCCTCTATGGAATCAGGATCTATTGACATACATTTTATTATTGCCTCTGATAAATGATCTAAGAAGTCAGAGGGGTTTTCACTTTTTTCCAGAGAAATAGCTGACAACCTAAAATAACCAGAAGCCTTGGTTTCTGTCCTTCTTAGACCTTCAAAAATACATACTTGAAAAAGTCTCCTGCTCCAATCTCCTGTATTGTTGTCCGGCCCCTGGGGTCTTGGGTGGGGACTGCTTGTGCCCCAGTGGGAACTGGTGGTTCCCGGCTGTCTATCTTCTAGCCTTCTAAAAGTAACAGATGATATTTAATATCCAAAGGCAATAGCAGCTTGTAAGCCTGCCTCCTTCTCACTAGAAGTAAATATCTGATTTAAGAGCAACATTATATCTTTCCAGCCTGGCTCCTAGGTCTGAGTAAATCTTTTAAAGACGTCAATGTACTTGTCTGGGTCATCTGAAAATTTTCCTAGTTCTAGCTTAATTTGCTGTAAGTCACTGGAGAGAGACCTGTGAACCGGAGTGGTCTCATAAGGATTATCATTATACCTGGAGCATAGATAAGAATTACCTTTTAACGTGAAGAAAATTTTAACATACTGCAGTTGTAACCATTTTTCCTCTTTCTTGCAATATGATTTCAGTTGTAAAAGAACATCATAACTAATACTTCCTTCTGCGTTCCTCTAGGGGGTAGGTAGGCCACACACACCTGCAGAGAAATGCTAACCGCCCTTTATGAACGTGGAAGGGTCGGACACCTTCCAGTGCTTAAGAGCCCATTCCAAAGGACTGAGGGGCTCAGGCATGGAGCTGCCCAGGGCTGTAATGTAAATAAAAGCAAGGCATACGCGTATGAAACCTTTTTTCAGGACCAGGAACCGAACTCAGGAACTTTCCTGAGCTCTGTCCCTAGCCCTGTAGTACATGAAACTTTGAAATCAAGCTATGTGACTATGCAAAAAGCAGACAAGTGGGGCGTCCCTTATTGTTCCTATTTGATAAATGTCCTCAGGCGCCCCTGGGGTTGATTCTGCTCCAGGGCAGGTGGATGTTCTCTGGAGAGAGTGGAAGATAAATTCATCCACCCTGACCTGGCGGCCTGCTGGCCCGGTGAGCAATCTTATCTTCCCAGGTAGCTTGTGAACTTTGTTTCCCTAAGAATGCTTAAAGAAGGCAGCATAACTTTTTGCTTATTGTACAAAGGTGAGGTAAAACATTTCTTGTTTTGTGAAGGAGATTCCCTGGGAAATAGAGACAACAAATAAACTTGAGGAACTCTACCCGAGGCCTTCAGGCACGTTTTTCAAGGCATCTGTGTCCTCTAATTATCTAGGGACTCTTTTCCAGTAGAGGGACATGGCTATACTTTTTAAAATTCTTATAACTTTGAAGTTCACAGATTAAACTTATAAACTATCATCTAGCAATCACATTTTATCAGTCTTCTAGGCACACAGAAAAGGCTATTTACTCAATATATATAAGGCAAAAATGCAAAGCATTCTCTGCTAGTTTCTTTTGAAATTTAAAAAGCCTCAGCCTAATTTTTGAGATAGTCGAACTGCCTGAAAAGTTTGGGGAACGCCTTTAGTTTACTAGCAGAAAGACCTAAGTGGATAGGTAAGGGGAGGTTTTTGCGGTTGGGGAGCCAAGGCCACAGAGGAAAGCTTGGGCATCTGGGCCTCAGTTGTTCTCAGTTTGCTCTGGCCCACACAACCAGAGATCAGTCTCCAGAAAGGACCGCAGCTGTCCGTCTGGTCGATACTCCGTGACTCCACTGCCCACTGGCTTCAGTGGGGCTTCACCAAACAGACGCTGGGGAATCTGTCCTCTGCTTTTAGGAGCGACAGCTGTCACAGTGATTAGCTGGCAGAGTAACCACCATGTGTCAAAGTTCTGTAAAGCGCAGCTAAAAGCCTGAGCAAGGTCCTTACTTAGTGCTTTGTGAATTTACAATAAAGGTTTAAAGTCCACAGCTTGAAAGTTTGGAGAGCCTCAGCATTCTAACTGTGTGTGGGAGCCGTCCGTGTGCTGCTTCTGCTGTCACTTGGAAGCCGGTTCTCCCCACCGTGTCTCAGCTTCCATCTCTCAAAGAGATGTTTCCCAGAACAGTAAGCCGAGACCTGGCTTTTAAGTGCGTTCTCCCAGACGGGCACAATCCCGAGGTCTCATCCGACCCACAGATGGGGTGCATGACCCTTGTTTCAGATGACTTCCCTGTCTTCAGGGTTAGCAAACGCTCACTTCTATGGGCTTAACTAAGAGGGATGTTGGGAGCCGCGTCTGTGATAGCTCGCCTTGCGCGGCGGACGTGCGGCCTGTGGTAAAGAGCAAAGCCTGAGGTAGATTACCCCTCCCATCGAATATGTTAGTTTCCTGCTTACCGCGTAAACAACCCGCTCAACAATATAGTCTGCCTGGCAACTGATGATGTTAGCCAATCAGCTTGCCTTGCTTACTTTAACATGATTGGACACTGTACCCGTATATATACCGGTGCCACCCCTGGGTGGAAGAAGAAGCCAGGTAGAAGCCCAGAAGTAAAAGCCCAAAAGGAGCCGCGGAGAGCGGACCGGTAGAGGCTTTGGGGCAGACTGAAGCACAAAAGGAGCCGCGGGGAGCGGACCAGAGGAGGCTTCAGCTGGGAGAACCCAGGGCAGGCTGTACGGAGAAGGAAAATAAAAAGAAAAGGTTGTCCACTACCAGACTTTGTCGTGTGTCCTTCCTGCCGGCCGGGAGCGGACATCGACATTTGGTGGCCCGTACGGGGACTGATCACCCCCGAGACGTGGAAGTGGACAACGCTCCAGTACAGAGCTGCGAGACAGGTGAGTTGGGGATAAGCCTGGGCTCTGGGTGGCGCGCACCTACAGGGCTTTTAGACTCCCCTCAGGCTCACGCGTAAGTGGCGGATTCCTTGGGCCTCACGCGGTGAGTAACATATTAAAAGATGGGAAACATGTTAGGTAGCAACACTAAGAGCGAGGGTGGTTGTGGAGAAAGCTCTCAAGAGCTTACAAAAGTACGCAGGGTATCTGAGCAGGCCCAGTCAGGGAGCTCCCGAGAGGGGTCCGTCAAGGGGAACAAGGATGCTAAGGAGGAGGACGGGGCTCTAGCCTCGGAGTCGTCTGACTCCGAGGACGAGGGAAAGTTGAATGGCAAGGAGGCCAAAGAGACCAGCTGTCAGGAGCCTAAATCGCTCAATAAGGAGTCGCAGGGTTCTTTTCCAGCGTTGCCCCGCGAATTGCGCTCTGCTCAACCTGGTCTGCGGAGGAGTAGAGAGCTCCTGAGCGCTCCCCGGCGCGAGAGGGAGGCGAAGCCTTCCGCCCCACCTTGGGGGCCGTTTCCGGAGGCGATTCCTCGCCACGAGGCGGCCGCCTGGGAGCTCTCTCCCCTTTCGCCAGAACAGGAAGTGATGCACGGGCCCCCATTTTCCGCCCAATCACGGCCGCTGTCTTATGCTCCGCCGCCGGCGGGTCGGTATTTTTACAGGCGGCTTTGGCAGGGGGGACGCTTGTCTCATGAGGTACATCCACCTGGGATAGATAGTGGCCCCTACGGGATATTTCCTGTACAAGTAGCTATGGGCCAGGGACGCAATGTATGGGAGCCTTTTGAGATAAAGCAGATTAGAGAACTTAAAAATGCAGTTACAACCTTTGGGCCGACTGCGCCTTACACCATTGCCATGCTGGAGAATCTGTCTTCTGGGCCCCTCACCCCCGCGGACTGGATTCAGCTGGCAAAGGCGTGTCTGCCCTCGGGTAGTTACCTGGATTGGCGAGCCTGGTACGCAGAGTTCTCTGCCGAGCAGGCTGAGAAAAACGCCGGTCGAGGAAATGGGGGCTGGGGATTTAGCTCAGCAGCATAAGCACCTGCCTTGCAAGCAGGCAGTCGTGAGTTTGATCCCCAGTACCGACAAAAAAAAAAAAAAAAAAAAAAACGAAAAAGATAAAAATAAAAAATAAAAAATAAAAAACAAAAAGGGGGAGTAAGCCAAGGCCTGCCTCCAAAGGCGCGGTTATCTATGGCATGACAATGGATGGGCCTGGATCCGGTAATCAGCTGGAACCGAGGCGCGGTTTGTGTTTTCCCACAGGAACCGGGACGAGAACCACTGTGGATACCGGAGAGACTGACACGGGCAACAAAGCCCTCGACTGAAGATCAGACCTGCCCTACTGGAGATCCATCACAGACCAACCAATAAGATGAATAGAAATAGCGGTAGCCCGAAATGGACAAGAAGATCCTCAGGCATATGCATGGCTTGCTCAATTGGCCCACGACCGAGTCTAGATATGGCGGGCATCCCTCATTCTCCTCCATAAGGTGACAATACACAGCAGGGTAGGTGAGTCAATGACGGGTAAGAGCGTGCCTCCCCAGCACGACTCGACCTAAGCCAGGCCCTACCCCATCCTGCACGTAAGCCGCTGGACTGTTAGATGCTGCCCAGGTCTAAATTTCTCTCCGAGGGGATTTCTTTACGGAGAGGAAATGAGTGCAAGCTTGTGTGCATCCAGGTTCCGTCCAGTTTGTGCCTGGCCCTAGAAAAAGGACGAGGGCCTCAGGGCCTTGGCAGACCATGGCATGGCCAACCAGGGTCTAAGCCAAGGACCTACGGTGGACCTACACATAGGGCATAAGCCTCTGCACCCAGTCCAGGAAGGGCTACGATGCGCACATTCATAAAAAATAAAATAGGGGGAGATGTTGGGAGCCGCGTCTGTGATAGCTCGCCTTGCGCGGCGGACGTGCGGCCTGTGGTAAAGAGCAAAGCCTGAGGTAGATTACCCCTCCCATCGAATATGTTAGTTTCCTGCTTACCGCGTAAACAACCCGCTCAACAATATAGTCTGCCTGGCAACTGATGATGTTAGCCAATCAGCTTGCCTTGCTTACTTTAACATGATTGGACACTGTACCCGTATATATACCGGTGCCACCCCTGGGCGGAAGAAGAAGCCAGGTAGAAGCCCAGAAGTAAAAGCCCAAAAGGAGCCGCGGAGAGCGGACCGGTAGAGGCTTTGGGGCAGACTGAAGCACAAAAGGAGCCGCGGGGAGCGGACCAGAGGAGGCTTCAGCTGGGAGAACCCAGGGCAGGCTGTACGGAGAAGGAAAATAAAAAGAAAAGGTTGTCCACTACCAGACTTTGTCGTGTGTCCTTCCTGCCGGCCGGGAGCGGACATCGACAGAGGGAGAAGATTGGAAGAATCTATTTTTTCTGAATTTTACATGCCTCTGTAAGGAAAGTACAAAGTGGGGAAATGAGTAGAAATAAAGCCAAAGAAAGAAACTGAAGCAGAACAGGCCTGACCCCGCCTCTAGAGCAGAGGCGGATCGGAGCTGCTGTCTCCGCGAAGCCTGTCCTCCAGGCCGTGAGAGTGGCCACAGCCGAGCGCTGTTCATCGGTGCAAGGAGTCCCTGTTTCACTGTAGACACATGTGTTTTCTAAGTCTCAGCTAGATTTCATTTACAAAGACCCATTTTACAGAAGTTTATATTAAAGTCTGTTAAGGATAGTCTGACATTCTCTCTCTAGTGCTATTGTCCAAATATAGTCAAGCAAGGAGTACCAGTAACTTTAGCAACTAATTTAAATTTAACATGTACAAGGACAAAATAATAAAAATGTCCCATTAAAGAAATATCATAACCTTATAATTTTCCCATGTTTTAACTTAGATTTACCATTATTTTAACAAAGCTATGTAAGAGACAAAGCAATTATAAACAATGGCAAAATACAAAGCAAAACATAAATAAATAAATAAATAAATAAATAAATAAAAGCAAAATTTGAAGCATGAAAATTTGCTGCCTAAATGAGCTCCAGGCCAGAGTCTATGGAACAAAGGCAAGCTCTCACCTCTGTCCGTCCGATAGTCTCGGTGGGAGATCTGCAAATGATACGGGAAATGAAACTCCCAGCCCACTGCATGTCAGATACCAATGTGTGTTCTCTAAAATGGAAGAATGAATTTTAGGAATTATGGAGGTTAAGAGCAGAATATACTTACTGGGAGAAAGAAAGCTTCTGTCTTAGGGACGGAAGGGATCCCAAGTGGGTTGCCAAGGGTCTGTCTTTTCTAGGGACTTTTATAGAGTAAAACCATGAGGGTGACATGGGTTCAAGATGGGGAAAAAGGGAACTCAAGAGGTGGACATAATGTAGGGCAGAACTGTGTTTAACAAAAAGATTCATTGCTCAGGTAAAATTGATCAAATCTGGAACGAATGGGGAAGCAGTCACCTAGAAAGCGGGCATTCTCAGGGAGCAGTGACTCTTCCCCTGGGGGACTGGGGTGGTGACTCCTGGCTTCCTTGGGGTGATAGGACCTATTTAGAGTATCAGTCCTTAGGATGTAGGTGTATTTGTTTGATCTTTTGTCCTGGCCATGCAGGAGGTGTCTGTGTCCCCCACAGTTGTAAGGAATCTGGGCTTCTGCACTGGCTCCTTGGAGGACCCAGCCGGGCGGGCTCACTGCCTACAGTATTTCTAACTCAGCTGCCTGTAACAATAGTTCTGTGCCACCTTATGCCCTTTTTTTTATGGGTTCCCTTTTTCTCTACCTTGAACCTGTCTTACCCATGGTTTTACTCTATAAAAATCCCTAGAAAAAACAAAGTCCTTGGCAACCTGCTCGGGACCCCTTCTGTCTCTCAGACGCTTTCTTTCTCTCAATAAATATATTCTGCTCTTAACCTCCGTTGTTCCTAAAGTTCGTTCATTCTTCTATTTTGGAGAGTGTGAACTTGGCCCTGACGTGTAGTGGGCTGAGAGCTTCATTCCCCTGTATCAGGATCTCCTATCACACGCTGTGACTTTGTGTCTCCTCCAGGTCGGTAATCTGTTTGCTTCTTGGTCAACACTGAAGTCTTGAGTAGAAAGTGTGTGAGCTGGAGTCAGATGAGTTTACGTAATGCCACTCCTTTTTTCGAGACAGGGTCTCACTACTTAGCTCAGGTTGGCCTTGAACTTACTACGTAGCTAACCCTGGACTCGTGGTGATCTTCCTGCCTGTCTCCAAAGTGCCGGGATTGCAGGCACGCACCACCACACTCAGTCTTCCAAGCCCATTTTTGTCTTTATTTTTTAAAATTTGAGACAGAGTTTTGCTACATGGCCCAGGCTGGACTTGAACACATGCCTCCTCCCTCCTTCTCCTGAGTAGCTGGAATTACAGGTGTGCACCATCATACCCAAAAGCTATTTTTATGCTTAGATGATGAAGAATGAACAGATGTGGAGATGTAATTAGAGGAAAAGGGTATCAGCTAAGGATGGACACAGCCTCGGTGGGAAAACTCAGCAAGGCCCATTTGGTGTCTTCTCGGTGTGGCACCCCTTCCCCTTGGTACAGGGCAGGACCCCCCGCAACTAGGGTTTGCTGACCTGCTTGCTGGCCAAGAATTATCTCACGGCCAGCTTTCACATGGAAAGGCAGCAGGAAAGCTAGAGTACTTCTAGGTTTTATGTCTGGCTTCGTGAAAGGATAGTTCTACTTTCCAGGGCTTTGGGGAAGAGGAGTCTGGTGTTTATGACTTGCTTGGAGGGGAATAAGGTTGAGGAAGACAGGAGGGCAGAGACGGTCAGGGAGACACTTTCTGTCGGCCCCTTTCGGCTCCTTCCTTCAGCCCTCAGCAGGCCAAGGTGCAGGGTGCACGGTCCTGAGCCCCCACAGCAGGATGCCTGAGTGCAGACAAAGGGCCACTAGCACATTGTGGGCATCTAAAGTTGACTGTGACTTCTTCCCTCTAGGACTGGACTCTCCTGTCCTTCCTCTGCAGATGTCCCCAGGGCCAATAACGCCCAAATCCCTGACCTCTGCCTTCACCTCAGGTCCTCTCACCGGGTGCCTGCCCCACCAGGGCTCAGCTTCCCAGGCATACACGGTGTTTTCTGACCTCTACCTTGGCACACAGGGCTCCTGCCTGTTGGCCCACCCTGCAGGGAGGCACCCCTGGAGCCTCCTTTTCTGTATCCAGTGAGTCTTTCTGGAAGGCTGCTGGCCGGTCCTGCAGGGCATCATGTGCTTAAAATGGAGTCTGAATCTATCCTTGGGCCGTGATGCCTCACTAACTTGCACCTAACAGAATCCCTCTTGGATCCTTTTCCGATCCTAATTGGACCTGAATGTTTCCTCACCAAGTCCCCAGACCCACCCTCTTCCCAACCCCACCTGCCTCTTCCCAATTCCATTTCTCAAACTGAACCCCAATGCACTGTCCATGGAGCCCCAGCCTTGGTCCCTGCTCAAGGGACCAGAGATTGCACACTTCCACCTCCCCAGTGCTTCACTGTGGGCCCTGAGTCAGCCCTGGGGATCCCGAGCCTGGCCCAGCCCCCACGGTGGTGGACAGGATGCCTGCTGCCTGGTACCAGAGGGTCAGAGGAAGCCAAGGCCTCTAGGGCTCAGTATTTTTATCAGCCTAGGAAACAAGAGACACAGAAGCGGAAACTGTGTGGTCAGAGAAAGTGAGCAGCCTTTATCTCAGGGGAACCCCCATCGGGGCTGGGGGCCAGACACCAGGGAGGACGTTGAGAAGACGGAGGTCTGGGGGCCCAGGCACCAAGGCCTCACTTACTTTGGTTTTATATAACTCTTGCAGAATGGGAAATTATGTAACCAAGACCTAGGAGAGCCTGGGTGGAGGAGTGAGCTGGGGACCCGTTTTCTGCCACTTACTTCTCACTCAACCCCCACCTGGCTCAGGGATCTGAACCCTAACCCCCTAGTGTGCCACGCCGGGGCTCTTTGCATGCCACTTCCGAAATCTCCCGCCTGCTAGAGGAACCGGATGGACTGGGCTGCTCACAGTGTGAAGCGTCTTCTCTGAATCACAGCAGCTTCCTCTCACAGGCCCTTTTCCCCAGCGCCCCCATGCTCCTGTCTGCCTGGTCCCCTCCTTAACTACAGGCTGCCCTTCCTGTCCCTCATCAGTTGCCCCCGCAGGGTGGCCTGCTCTGGCCCGAGCGTGGTGACTACGGGGCTCCTCTGACCTGAGGCACAGCACCTGCCCCTCAGCCTGCTCTGAGCCCTGCTGTACCCAGGGGAACAGCAGCAGGGCTATGTCTACAGTCTCCGAGCTGCTTCCAGGTCTGAGCCGCATGCTTCCTCCTCCCTTCCACGGAACCCCAGGCCTTCAGTCCCAGTTCCTGGGAAAGGCGATGTCTGTCTCAGAGCTGAGTCTGGGCTGCCCTGAGGGGAGGCCCCATTCAGGATGGCAGGGGTGGTGGAGGAGCTGGGGCCTGGCCGGTGGCACCATGGAGGTGGAGGCGGGCTGAGCAGCCCCACGAGGGTGCGGACCTCTGGTTGCCTAAGACCAGATAACCCGGGTTACATAATCTGGCCTTTTCCTCCTCCTTCCCCATGCTAATTTTAGCCACTGAAATTCTGCTCCCCGAAGGGCTCTTCCTCCATCCCTGCCACTTCTATCCTGTCCTCCGCAGCCTTATGATCCCCCCGGACACCAGCGGCCCCCCAACTTGGCTCATTCAGTGACTCAGCAAAGGGGAAGCCCTGTGTTGGGGGACCGGGTGTTAGGCGGGGAGGAGGATGTGGTTCTGCTTGGGCAGCGAGGGGTGGGCGGGAAATTGGTTCTGTTCCCCTTTTGCCTCTGTTCCCACCTCTCACTCCTGCGGCTGCAGACTGTGGGGTGGGCAGGACCCCCACCCAGCAGGGCAGAGCAGGGCAGGGCGAGGCGGAGCCCACCCAGGCCCAGGGCCCACGGGGCTGGCCCTGTGCATGACATCCCAGACCGGTGTGTAGGAGCTGCGGCTTTCGGCAGGAGGGTGGGGAAGGCGATGTCATGGGCGGTGAAAACCATAGCAGTGGAAACAGGCAGAGGAGCCGGGAGCGAGGCTGCTCCGAGCGGTCTCACTTGGAAACGGCGGAGTTGCGTGGCAGGCAGAGGCCCACGCAGCTGCACCGCCACCGCTGCAGTTCCGCCCCACCCGCGGCACTGCCTGTCCCTCTCCGGCCCCATCCCCGACCTGGCGTCCTTGCTGCACCCCCGGGGTCACTTGAGGGCCTCGGCGTGGCGATTCAGTGCCTGAGACAGCGCCGTCACGGCCCCCATCACGCGGCCCAGCTCCTGGGTCTCGATCTGGCTCCGGAATCGCTGCAGGAAGCGGTCGGGGTGCCAGCGGACCTGCTGGACCCGCAGGTACCGTCGCAGGGCGCCCCGCTCCTCCGAGGGGGGGCCCCTGGCCACCAGCGCTGCGGCCATGGCCTCCGGGTCGCCCCCGCCGGGGCAGGGCCAGGGCACGTCCCCAAAGCGCCACAGGCTGCTCCGCTGCACGCCTCCTAGCCCGGCCCGCTCCGGGCCTCGTCCTTGATCCCCGCCGGCCTCCCGCGCCCTTCTGGCCCGGCTCAGGCGCAGCTCGGCCTCCTTGGCCCGGGCCCGCTCTTGGAAAAGGCGCTGCTCCTCCTCGACCTGGCGCCAGGTGTGCCTGGCGCCCTCGGCCCGCGGGGGCCTGCAGGGCGGCGCTGCCCGCTGCTGCTGCTGCTTCCGGGCGTGTTCCCGCGCCAGGCGATCCGACCAGGCTGAGAAGGACTCAGGGTCCCGGGGGTCCCAGGAAGCATCATCTGCAGGGAGGCCGAGGTGGGGGAGGTGGGCTGTGAGCATGGGAGGCGGGACGTGCATAGGTGCCCGGCGTGGGGAGCCATGCAGTGGGCACGGGCAGGTGTCCTCACCTTCAAACCTCCCGATGACCTCCTGCCACTCGTCCTCCAGCTCGCCCTGCAACTTCTGCCTCCATTCCTGCTCCTTGGACGCTTCCTCCTCTTCCTCCTCTTCCTCAGAGTCCCAGGGAGGCCCCCAGCCCAGAAGTTGTCCAGGGGTCTCCCCATCCTTGTTCTTTATTCCCATGGCAGAGGGACAGCGACTCAGCAGTGGCAGGAAGAAGGCTGTGTAGGCTGTCGGGAGAACGGAAAGAGGTGAACTTCCTGCGACTCGGGCTTGGCGCCCGGCTGCCTGCCGTCCTGAGCTCCTTGGTCTCCCCTGACAGGGAGGGAAGCCCGGCTACTCCAGAGGATGAGCAGGGAGAGCCTGCAAGGCCTTTCGGGTAACTTAGCGAGATCTCATCTCAGAACAGAAAATAAGAAGAGATGTAGCCTTAGGTTCAATCTGCAGTATCAAAAAAGGGGGGCCCGCATAGCATAGACAATAATCCCCCGGACAAATATTTCCCAATAGTTCATGCGCACCATGAGTCTGTGGTTCTTTGAAACCTTCTGGCTCGTACCCTCAACAACTGGTATGCTCTGCGCTCTGCTGTGTAAAAGGACATTTTCTGGCCCTGACTCCAGCCACCTAGGACAATGTCAAAATCCTGTGTCTTCCACTCCTGGGTTGAAAATATTGTCACTAACATCCCTTACTGAATTTTTCACCCAAGACTATACATCAGACGAGCAAAAGATCGGAATCGTCCACCTTGTACCCATTCACGTATACAAGAATATTCCCTGTCACTTCCGATCAGTTGGGTAAGACACCTGTTTGCAGGGCAAGGTTCCTACCCCCGGCTTACACAAGGGACGCTGGGGACCAGCAGTGAGTCTGAGCCTCGGAAATGGGGCCGACAGCAGAGCAAGCTCTCTGCAAAGACTGCTCACTGAGGAGGGCTGAGGGCCGGTGGCGGCCTCTCCTGGGGGCTGGGAGCAATTAGGAATGGGAGCACCCTTCTCCCTGAACTCGGACCCTGTCCAGTGTCTGGTCAAACTGACCTAGCGTCATCGCCGAGCCCAGGCTCACCACTGTGGCCAACTGCCTCCTTCAGCCGGGGACAGAGGAGGCAGGGGAGGTGGCCCGCCTTCCTGTAGACCTACTTTCTGTCCCCGGGTGGGAGGAAATGGGCTGCAGCCGTGAAGCCTTCGGTTGGTAGTGCTGGAAAGTTTAAGGGATGGCATGGGGAAGGGCTGCTCCGTCACTGCCAGGAAGGCAGGAAGACAGAGCGCCCCAGCCTGGGCTACTGAGGTTCCCCCACCCCAGCATGGTGAGGCAAGAGCACCCCACTCCGCAGTGCTGCTGCTGCAACCAGTCACAAGTCCTCCTAACTCGTTCCACCCAGAGAGCGCCTGTCCTGTCTTCAACTGCTTAGTCCCACTGGGCTCGAGAAGGGAGGGGTGCCCAGGCTTGCAGGGGGGTCTCACTCAGGTAAGAAGGAGAAGGCTTCTGCCTAGAAAGAATGGTAAGCAAAGCATGGTACAGAACACTAAATGGCCACTACAAATGATGTGTGCGTGTGAAAAATCTGGCTGCAGGGCTGTTTATAAGATGTGATCACAACAGTCCAAGTGAAGAGATCCAGCCTGGGGTGCCCCTACAGCACAGGCTGTTCAGAAAGCTGAGGTAGGAGGGGCGATTGAGCCCAGGAGCAGAGGACCTCCTGAACAACATAGGAAAACCCATCTGAAAAACAAAAATTAAATAAAAAAGTTAAAAAAGAAAGAAAAGAAAAAGAAAAACACCAAATCCAGTGTTTGAAAAAAAACGAGAGTGGAAAAATTCTAGTTTTTAGGTGCTGGGGTGGTAGGTGTCTTTTTCATTTCAGTTTTATTTAATTGCTATTTTAATGTGACAGTGACATAACTAAGATGGGTTTCCTTTCCTTTTTAAGGAATAACTGCTCAGGATGAACAGACTGCTGCGGCCATCCCAGTCGTGTCTTGGCACACACAAACGCACACAGAAGACCAACAGACGCAGACACGCGGTCGTCCGCTGCTGCCCGCACCGCCTGGTCTCACTTTTCGTGTTCAACACCCCGTGTATATTTTCCACGAGAATATACGGCCTACTTCATTCTTCATGATGACTGTGTAGGGTTCCACTGCGCAAAACAAACAACTCTCCCCACTCCTCACTGACAAATTTTGTTTCCAAAGCCTTCGGTTTCACACATATATCTTTGTGGACTTGTTAGAGTTTTCTTTTCGTGTGGGGTAGATTTTCAGAAGCGGAATTTCTGAGTCAAACATATACCAAAAAAATAAAAGAAAAGAAAAAAGCAACAAAACAAAACAAACCCAAAACAAAACCACCCAGGGCAGCACGTGTCTGTGTCTAATCCCTGCACTCTGAGAGGTTGAGGCCAAGAGGCCAACTTGGGCAATTTAGAGCCTCAGCAAGATCCTGCCTCGGGATAAAAATAAATTCTCAAAAAAAGGGGGATTGATGGTGGCTCACGCCTGTAATCCCAGCACTGGGGAGGCTGAGGCAAGAGGATCGTTGTGAGTTTGAGACCAGCCTGGGCTACAAAGTGAGCTCAAGGCCAGCCTGAAACTGCATAGAGACCCTGTCTCAAAAAGACAAAAAAAAGTGTGTGGGGGGGATTGAGATGTAGCTCAGTGCAGAGGCCTTGGGTTCAATCCCTAGTGCTGGAAACAAATATGTAAGTCCCACCCCCTGCCAGGGGACTGAACCCCGGGCCCAGGCAGTGGGCTCCAACCTAAGTGCTGGAATGACAGGCGTGTGCCACCAAGTCCATCTGACATCACTTAAAAAAAGAAATAGAACCACCCACAGCCTTCTGGGCTCAAGTAATCCTCCTGCCCCGGCCTCCTGAGTGGCTGGCAGTACAGGGTATGTGCTGCCACACCCAGCTTTGGAAATTACATTTTGAGTCAGGCGTGAGGCAGAGCTCTTTTTTTCTCTACATGAGCCAAGTGTTCCATCATGTATTACATATCTCATCACTCTCTAGTATTTGAAATGTTAGTATCAATTTAGCAGTAAAGATCAACTTTTCTCAATGTTCATTAATTACTATATTTCATACAGGAAAAAATAAAAATGAAAAAATTTTGTGGAAGGAAGAAAAGTTTACTTTGTCTTTGTGAGGGAAGTACTGCCTTCCCCTAATGCATAAGACAGGAATTCTACTTCCAGGGCACTGGCACATTAATTGGAAAAAGGACACACTCTTCACCTTTCCTTGTAGTGCTGAGGATTGAATCTATATTCTCTTCGTGCTAGGCTAGAAACACCTCAACCCCAAACACACTTTCAAAAAGGTCAGTGTTGGAGCCGGGTGTGCTGGCGCATGCCAGTCATTCCCTCACTCAGGAAGCTGAGGCAGGAGGATCTCTGCAAGTTTGAGGCCAGCCGGGGCTACACAGCAAGACCTTGTCTCAAAAAAGCAAAAAGCTGTGCTGGGCTGGAAGGGACCCTAACACTAAGCAAAGTGAAAATCAGATAAAAGGAAGGCAAGGGGCCAGGAAGGAGTCAGCCTGCCAGGAAGGATGATGTGCCGAGGGTCATGGAAGACAGCGCCTCCTCCGGCTGCAGTCACGGGGTCCTGTGTGCAGCAGGACCCAGGGCTGGAAAGGGGAGTGGGACCCACCTGGACGCTACGGCAGCTCAAAGTGGGCAGCGGGTGGGAAATGCCTGGTACAGAACTGCAGCGCAGTGAGGGTCATGTCAGCAAAAGAAAAGCAGAACAAAACAGAATAGGCTGGCGCTGGCTTTTACTGCTTTTACCAAGAGTGTGAAAAAATGACCTCATTTTGCAATGCCAACTCTCGGTCTGTGGAGAGAACAGTTACCGCCTGCCCAGGGTGTGTTTGTTCAGGGTCTCTGCTGGCTAAGGACACTTACCAGGAGGTGCCAACTTTTAAAAAGGAGTCACCAGAAGTCCAGCAGTTGAGTGCCTTTTACTAGAGTTTTACGGGGTGTGAAATCTGGCCCGGCCTCTCCAGCGGGCCTGGCACTTCCTCTAGACCCACCAAGGGAAGCTGGGAAACCGGCTGGCAAAGACCCTGGTCACAATTCAAGGAAGGTGTTTTCATTTCACCGCGGTGGGCAGTGGAATAAAGGCGCCGGCAGCGGAGGAGGCTTCTGGACTCCGGACTTAGGAGGCCCCCTGGTGGCAGGAGTGGGGAGAGGCCGGAGAGGACAGCGGGTCCAGAGAGGGGGCCAGAGGCAAGCTTCCCTCCGGGACAAGTTCCTGAACCTGCTGGCATTCTTTCTTGGGGTGCTCTGCTTTATCCTAGCTAACATTCTGCAGCCAGTCTGATACCTGTACTCGGTAAACTTCCTCTTTGCTTTTAAGTTAAAAAAAATGCAAGTACACTGGGCATTTCACACGTCAACAGAGTAAGGAGTTGTAAGCCAGGCATGGTGGGACACACCTGTCATCCCAGCACCCAGGAGGCTGAGGCAAGAGGATCGTGGCGAGTTCCAGACCAGCCAGGCCTACAAAGTGAGCCCAAGATGAGCCTGAACTGCAGAGTGAGAGCCTGTCTCAAAAGACTAAAAAACTTCTGACCTTAGCAGGGGCGTTGCGGAGGAGGGGCTGCCTGTATACAGGTGTGGAGGGTGGACAAGCGGCAAATCAGACCGAGTCCGTGCTGCTCCTCACACCTTGGGCTGTGTCCTCGTGTCCCTCCATGAGGAGCCCTCTACTCTAGGTGGGAAAAGGCTTTCACCTTTGCGCATGTAAGAAGGGCCACACCTCTCCCCAGAGCTGCTTCCGCTGTGTTATCAGCGGTCCCACAGTCTGGGTCCCTCAAGGCAGCCCCAGGAAGCAAACTCTTGGAATAGTTTTGGTCTGAAATGCCTGAATATTGGCATCAGTAAGATAAAAACAAATCATAGAGAGTCTCACTTCAGCTCTTCAGGTCAGGTTAGGTTTCTGTCACTACATGAGTTTTTTAGAGACTTTGTTTTTTTGGTACTTGGGATCGAACTCACGACCGCACGCTTGCAAGGCAAGTACTTATGCTTCTGAGCTAAATCCCCAGCCCCTACTATGTGAATTTTGGTGTCAGACTGATGAAAACTGATTCCCAGAGTGGTTTTAAGTTTTGAAACTGTGCGTAAGGGGGTTTAGACTGCTGATAAGGACTGGAACGACAATCAATAGCCTCCATGGAGTGCTCGCTGTATTCAAGCCTTCCAATCATGTCCTGTCACCTGGTCTCAAAATATACTTGTCAGAGCAGGGGTACTTTGGACATGTGTAAATCTACAATGTTAACACAGACAATGAAGTTACAGTCTGCAGAAGGAGCACAGACACGCTTGGAGGCGAGGCTGCCTGGGACAGGGTCCCTTTCGTATCCTTAAACAGCTGGGTGACTTTAGCAGATGACTTGACTTCTCTGTGCCCAGCTCCTCCCTGGGATGGGGTCAATGTCAGTGACTCCCTCACAGGGCTGTTAGGAGGATCGGATGAGTCACTTGATAAAAAGTGCCAGGCACACAGCAAGCACTGTTGTTACATTAATCTTACACATGGGCAAAGTAAACCTCAGGAAAGTTCAACAACTTAATACACAGCTATGAAGTGTGGAACTGGGGCTGGGTGTGGTGGTGCACACCTGTGATCCCAGCACTTGAGAGGCAAGAAAGAAAAAGAGTTGGAGCTGGGATTTGAACCTGGGCAATCCAATCACCGAGCCTACCTTCTAGGATGTGTGTTGTGCTATAGGCCAGTAATGAATCAAGAAGCAAAGTAGTTATCAATGTAGCAAGAGATGAAATTTAAAGACTGTTGCCTCAGTAACATCAGACCCTGCTCTCCACTGGCGAAGGTGGTCAGGGCCCTGATGAGAAGCAGCTGCAGGCAGTTGAGTTAGGAACTAAGATACAGTCAGAGAGAGTCTGGCCTCTCAAGGAAGGCAGCACAAAAATCAAGACATCAGAAGTGAGGCTGGAGGCGCATCTCTGAGGGAGGCCAGGCCTGCACGCCTAGGAGAGGAGCAGCAGCTTGGGTTAGACTGTCACTAGCACCACTTGGTCCAGAAAATCAGGACAGGCAATGAACGCCCAGGTGGGCGAGCAAAGTGTCCGGTCTGTGTCTTGTCTCTTCCCGAAAATACCTCTGTTCTTTCCACCTATCATCACTGTGTGCCTCCTTTCCCTATTGGATCCGCTCCCCTTGTACTTATGATCCTACAGGTCGAAGGAGTCTGACCCCTGTCGTGTGCGCAGGCGCACTGCATTGTGACTTTGCTCGATAAATTACCCCGCTGAAGAGCCTCCTTTCTGGTAGCATTTGGGACCCCTTCTGGAAATCTAGGAGCTGTTCTTCCCTCCTTATTTCCGACAAACTATCCTAATTTCTCCTTTGGTTCACACTGTTCCTTTATGCGGCAGGCCCACGATCCTGGCACCTCTGACATCTCCCAGGTGGACGCTACAGTTCCCCTGTACCCCAGGCACCACGACAGCCGCAGCCGAGGGTCAGGAAGCTCCCTAGGTCCCACGACCCTCTCTGCCTTCCGACCAACCGGCCGGAGGCGCAGGACGCCGCCCCTCCCCGCGGCACTCACCGTCCGGGCCCTGGCGCGCGGCGGCATGCAGCGCGGTGTCGCCGCGCCGGTCCTGGTGGGCCGGGTCGGCCCCGAGGCGCAGCAGCAGGCACAGGGCGGGCGCGTCGTGGCGGGCGCAGGCCCGGTGCAGGGGCGGAGGCTGCCCGGCGTCCACGTCCAGGCCGGGGTGCCGCTGCAGGAGGGCCTGGGCCCGGGCCAGGCGGCCGGCGGACAAGTAGCGGCGGAAGCGGCGCTCGCGGCGGTGGCGGCGGGAGGCGGCCGAGGCCATGGCGCGCGCGGGCTGAGGAGCGGGAGAGAGGAGGCGGCGGTCAGGGCCCGGGGCCTGGGGGCCGCTCCCCTGCTTTATTCCCGCGTCTCCTGCTCGGGATCCGCATGCTGACCCTCGCCAGATGCGGGGCTTGAAGACATCTCGGGATGGCTCTGGGGTCACAGATTTGTTAGTGTGAAATTTGAGAAAAGCCTACAAAATTGCTTTAAGGCTCAAGAGCACAGGTACATTTTTAATCATGGACTTAAAGAAAAAGCCATAGGACCTAATGGAGAAAATTTGTACCCCCAGAAATTTGAATTTTAAAAAACCACCATTTCGAATAACGATCTAGAAACTGAATATGATGTACCCGCGAAACAGACGTAGAAGCTTCTTCTTCTGGGACCTGGAGGGAAGGGTTACTCATCAGACCTGCCCCCCGCCCCCGAGAGCCTCCAAAGCTGTAGGCCCAGGCTTGAGTTTAAGATGCTCGGAGGAGGGAGGCGGGGAGGGCGGAAACACTCCAGGCTGGCGGAAATGCGTACTTGTAGGGCGGAAATGAACATCGAGGCGCATGACCGGATGTTCTTCCGCCCCGACCGGTTGGTTTCTTGATTAGCCTCCGGGAGGAAACCAAGGAATCTAAAATACAGGGTCCGCCTAAGGTAGGAAGTCAGGAAGAGAGGCAGGGGAGAAAAAGGCAAGGGAGAAAGGAGGGTGTTTTCTTGTTTTTAATGTTTTTCCAGGTCCCTCCCAACTGAGAGAGGGAGGAATGGTTCAACGACGTATGGAAAGATGAACAGGGAAAGAGAAATCAGACAGATTAAAGACGGTAAAAATCACAATGGAAATGGAAAACCAAAAAACTACAGTGAGGCCAAGAATAAGGAGTGATCGAAAAAGAGCACAGAGATGGAAATATATTATGAGAACCATAGGACAAGGCAAGTGAGATAGATGTAGGCAGAGTTTTGAACTTGGAAAACATAGATTAAGAGGTAGATGAAAGAGAGGTAAGAGAGAGAGAGAGAGATGAATATTGGGAGAACCCTACTGTAAATGCCCACCCCGTGCCTAGTGCTGGAAGTTCAGAAGTGCTCCTGGCAGCAGGCTGACCCTCAGAGAGTTTACAGTCCACTGTGTGAGGCAGAGGTTTCTTAAAGGTGTCAAAAATAAGGGCCACTTTGAGAAATTCCAAGTGAAGTTTAGAAGAAGAGGAGAGGGCAAACTGATTACTATATGTATGTATATTTTGGGGAGGGGGGTCTTTTTGAGACAGACTCTCACTATGCAGCTCAGGCTGGCCTTGAGCTCACTTTGTAGCCTAGGCTGGTTTTGGACTTGCAACCATTTTCCTGCCTCAGCCTCCCAAGTGCTGGGGTTTACAGGGGTGAGCCACCACACCTGGCTTGATTACGATGTTTGGAAACACTTGGTGGTCCAGGACGAAATAAGTACAGTGTACCCAAATACAGGATGATAGTTCATGTAACTAATGAGATGTTATTTGTCATATTTTCTCATTTCTGTATAGCAGGAGATATGCACAGCATCTGTGCACACACTACCATGATACGGTGCGAAAGATGGCTTTACAACTCAGGCTGCAGCATATCCTATTGGCTTGCTGCAGGATTGCAGGCTTCTCAGAGGTTTGGCACTGACAAGATTTGTGAAGGCCAAGTGGAGGAGACAAGATGAATCCAATACGGAAAGCATTGATGGTCAGCCTGGTGCCTTTACCTGCTTTCTGGATGCTGGCCTTGCCACAACTACAACTGGCCGTAAAGTTTTTGGAGCCCTGGAGGGTGCTGTGGGTGGAGGCTTATCTGTCCCTCACAGGACCGAATGGTTCTCTGGGTATGATTCAGAAAGCAAGGAGTTAGGGGTCAGAACATTGCAGATGATATGCGTTACCTACTGGGAAAAGACCAAGATGCTTAAGGAAACAGTTCTCTCAGTACAGAAAGAACCATCTAACTGCAGACATACAGGAGGTATATAAGAAAGCTCATGCCGTGTGACACAACCAAGTCCATGAAGAGAAGCTGAAGAAGTTAAAAAGATGGAGTGGAACTGTCCAAAAGTGGCCCTTGCCTAGAAGAAAGAGGGGGTAGCTCAAAAGAAGGCAGTCTTAGGGGCTGGGGATTTAGCTCAGCGGCATAAACACCTGCCTTGCAAGCAGGCAGTCGTGGGTTTGATCCCCGGTACCAATAAAAAGGAAAAAGGCAACAACAACAACAACAACAACAAAGGCAGTCTTTCTCAGAGCTCTGCGGAGAGTTAATAAACAACAGTTCTATGACGATTTTCAGATAAACGCCAACAAACTTACTCATTAAGGTACTCATTAACGAGAGGCATGGGGAGAGCGGGAATAGTGAAACACTTCTGCAGTTTCAGCATGGGGAGGCTGAGGCAGGAAGGTCCTGAGTTTGGGGCCAGCCTGGGTTACACAGTGAGACCCTAGAGAGAGGAAGAAAGTGAGCCTGCTCAGAGTCCTCTTTTCCTAGCGCACATTGCACGACGACATTCTTAGCTTTTCACCCCATTCTCATCTCCTCTGCCTCGCATGCGACCGGCGGTCCAGTACTCCTGCTACCAAACAGACGCTCCCCTCCTCCCCCCTCCCCTCCTCGCTCTGCCCCATCCCTGGCGCTCAGCATTGGGAGGCTCCTCACCTGCCGCCAGAGCTTAGAGCCTGGTTTCTGCTGCCCCCAGGTGGCCCTTTCGGGTACTGCCTAGGTGAGAAGTGAGCGAAGAGGACCAGCATCAATGGTAGGATCAGATTGGGGGAGACACCCTTGCAGGAGGCTGAGTGAAGAGGGGAGCACTAAGACCCAGGAGTAGTGAAGGCCCGTGGCACCGAGCTGAAGGGGGAGGGGCGGGAGGAGAAATAGATGCTGCGGGCGGGGGGAGCCATCTGGTACCTCGGTCAGCCTCAGCAGCATCACCCTTAACGGCGGAAATGGCCAGCCAGTCCCAGGGCATCCAGCAGCTCCTGCAGGCCGAGAAGCGGGCAGCGGAGAAGGTGGCAGATGCCAGAAAGAGTAAGTCTCCTCTTTTCTCCTGCGGCAGCCTGGAGAGGAAACGGGCAGAGGTTAGCAAACCGGGGGTCCTTAGGAAAACCCGAGCGAGAGGGGGAGTCGGGAGGTGCTTGGGAGGAGAGGAATAGCAGGTGGTAGCATCGGGCAAGCGCGAGGTCCTGTACAAAACAAAACGAAAATCCTGTGCTGTGCCTGCTTGGCCCAGACAAGGCCGAATAGTGTCCTGGAGGGCACTGACCTGTATCACACTTTGTGGGGGCCCCCACCCTGTCTTCTGCGTTTAGGGAAGGCCCGGAGACTGAAGCAGGCAAAGGAGGAGGCGCAGATGGAGGTGGAGCAGTACCGCCGGGAGCGGGAGCAGGAATTCCAGAGCAAGCAGCAGGCGGTGAGCTGGGGATGGGGTGCCCAGCCCACTGGGGTGTGGACAAGTGACTGGACAAGAGAATGAGGTGGCGGGGGGGCTAAGGGGTCCTTCAGGGACCACAGCGTCGGTGAATCATTGTGACAACGTGTAAGGGAGGCCTGGAGGGTTTCTGTTTTGCTTTTGTTTTTGCTTTGAGGCAGGGTCTCACGGTGTAGTCCAGGCTGGCCTTGAACTTGCTTGTGTAGCCCAGACAGGGCATAAACTCACGGTCCTCCTGTCTCAGCTTCCTGAGTGCTGGTATCACAGGCTGTGTTGGCGAGGCTGGCGTCCAGCTTGTGGGGGCAGGGCAGGAGAGAGTGGGGATTTTACAGTCTGTTTTAGACAAGCGGCTGGGTATCAGGTCTTAAGAGAAGAGGGCACTGTTGACCTGTTTGGTATCTGGGTAGCACCGGGGATGGGTTGAGGACATTTCTGAAAAGGCTTTCTTCTTGCTCACACCAAGTCGGGACATTTCTTTCTCTGTCTCTGCTTTTATCTCTCCTTGTCCTCCAGGCCATGGGCTCCCAGGGGAACCTGTCCGCGGAAGTGGAGCAGGCCACGAGGCGCCAGGTACAGGGCATGCAGAGCTCCCAGCAGAGGAACCGGGAGCGTGTTCTGGCCCAGCTCCTCAGTATGGTCTGTGACGTGAGGCCCCAGCTGCACCCCAACTACCGGAGCGCTGCCTAGGCTCCACCACAGGGCCTGCTCCTCATGCAGCTTGTGCCCCTAAAGAAGTCCCCCAAGCCCAGGGGATGTCCCTCGCTTGACATGCACCCGGCCCTGGGTTCGGCTCTCACCTCCTGAAAAAGTCATCTACCGCCGTCATCTTGGTCTCCTTTCCATTCTGTGGAAGTGCTGGGAGGCAGCTCCAGCCTCCCCTGAAAAAGTTTTCAATATTCTGGGCAAACTCGAAGCTCCTCATGCTTTAGTCTTCTCTGGGACCTTCCACAGTGAGCCACCTTACCCTCACCTCGTAGCACAGAGAAGCAGAGGCGCGGAAAGCACCTGACTTCAGAGTCTGGAAGACCAGCTTCCCTGCCAACCCTGCCGCTTGCCGGCTGAGCAGCTCGGATGAGCTGCCTGACCCGGTCCTTTGTGAAACTGGACCGATTCTGCCTTGTGAGGCTGGTGCAGTGGTTAGGAATTATTCTGTAAAGCGCCTATCATGGTTCTTGGGAGTCCCATGGTTCCTTGGGGTTCAGTAAATGGGAAACCCAGATATTATTACCACCCTGCGCACCTGCCAGAGCCTAGGGACTGCGGTTTCCTGGCTTTTCCCAGAGCCTCTCCAATTTTGTTCACTTTGTGACCCTAGTTATTCCCAGGAGAATTTATTCTTCTCTCCGAGACTTTCGGTCCCTGGAAAGATGGTACGGTGACCTCTCTGTTACAGTTCCAGGCAGACACTGCATCTCTTCGCTTCTCTTTTTGTCTCTTGGAAGCCGGCCTTTATTGGGTTTTCTCCTTTTTTTTATCCTGCCACAAACTACCAGACGCTCACTGGTCCCTGAGATCTGAGGTGATGTTGTGCCCCCATCCGCATGGCCTCCTTTCTACATTCTCTGCCTACTGATTTCCCTTCGTAACAATAAAAAGCTGTCAATAAAATAACTGGGCAAATCGGTCGGTTCGTCCCAGCAGCCTCTTGCCGCCTCCTCATCTCTCGTTTTCACTCAGTGTCGCGCTCTGTTGCTGCGTTGTCTAAACATCACAGAGGACGGTCCTTGAGGTTCATTGGGGGAAACAAAAGCAAGTAATGCTTTGTTTTCCTCGAATGACAAGTGTGTGGTTGCTTGTTTGGGAACCTGAGTTACTTTCCTAACACCCAAAGTTCAAGGAGGAAAGGTTCATTGTCACTCAGTTTGTAGAGGGAGGTTTCAGTCCAGAGTTGGCGGCAGGGTGCATGGCAGGGGGCACCGCAGAGGAGAAACAGTTCATGGCAAGCAGGGCAGGCGGAAGGCAGCAAACAGCAGGCCAACAACGGTAGTGGCTCTTCTTTCCTGTATATTCCTTCTGGGCTGCCCGCCCTTAGCGTGGTAACACTCACACTCAGGCTGGGGTACCAATCCCAGCACCACATACCCTGGATCCAGCCCCTCGGAAAACTTCACCTATGACCCCATGAGGCTTTGGTGGGTGAGGCAGGGAGGCCATCTCAATACAACTACAAGTGGTAAATTGTTGGGCGCAGGCGCTCACATACTCCGCCTGGGACTAAGGACCACGCCAGCTTCCGCAATGCGCTACGTCCCTCTCTAAATTAGCCACCCCGTGCGCACCTCGTGCTCACTCCGTATTCGCCCCGTGCTGACTCTGTGGCAACCCCTGATTGGCCACAGCTGGGTATATTAGCCAGAGCCCGCGTCTCATCCCAACCCTGCCTCCTCGTAGCAGCCTGTGATTGGTCACGGCCGAATATATAAGCCAGAGCCCGCAACGATAAAGGGGCAGTTACCTGTTACCCACAAGAGCGTCCTCTGTCTCATTGGGGGGCTGTGCCAGTCAACTGGTGGCCTGTACGGGGAACGCTGAGACCCTCTCTCCGACGGAACAGAGACGTTAACAGGTAAAACCGTCAAGCACCGATAGCGGGGGCTACGCGGCGGGCGGGGGCTGACAGGTTCGAGGAACTTGTAAAGAGAGTTCCGGGGGCCGTAAAGAGGCCGGTTTTGGGGGCGCCGTAAAGGGGCGCGGGGACTAAGCTGTCCCCTAAAGAGAAAGAAAAATAAAGATAAAAATAAAAATAAAACCCCAACTGACAGGAGTTAGACCCCTTTGGGCAGTAGTGAGGAGCTGCCTCGCAGACGCCTCTTGTCGTGACCATATAAGGGCTGGCGCCATGGCGCTTGGTTACCATCAGGCAGAATCCTCTTGCGAGCAATCTCGTGAGCCCAGTGTCGCAGGCGAGGCGACCACACCCAACCCAGAAATAGAGGACTCGTCAGATAGTGAAGAGGAGGAAGAGGTACACAAAATGGTGGACGCAGCGGCCGCCGGAAAGGAGGAAGTTAGACACCCAAAGTCAGGCGAACTCAATTAACAGAATTGGTAACTATTTACACCTGATCAACCTCAATTAACAGAATTGAAGATCATTATAGAGGTCTTTAAGCAATACCCACAACCCTTTAACTTACTCTCAGACTTACATTATGTCGTCAATGCCCTGCAAATGTTAGAGATCTCGGGCCCTATCAGGGAATCCTTTTCTGTTGTTTGAAGCCACCACAAATATGACTTTTCTAAATTGCTCCACCGCAACCTGTTATATGTTACAATGTTGGGATAACAGTACACTTTCAGCTGTTGTTATGCAGGTACTCCAGTTCGTACCGATTCCAGTTATGACGGACCCAGACGAGTTTCCTGTGATCCAGCTCGGGCCAACTCTCCAATTGGCTTTCATAGAGGAATGGGCAGGAATAGGGGCTCTGGCTACCATGACTACATTTGCCGCATTCGGCAGTCTACTTCTGCTCTGTTGGATTCGCAGACAAAGGAATAGGGACAAAGTAATTATCAAACAAGCATTGCTGGCCGTAGAATCTGGTCAAAGCCCGACAGCATGGCTCGCCATGCTGTGACGCAGGTGTGGAGCAAAGCATCGCAGGGGGTGTCGTCCTTGGCCAGGAGACACCCGGGTCTCCAAGTCGATGAGCATGCGGGTTGGGCTCATAAAACAATACTCCCGCCCCCTCCAAAAGAGCACCAACGAGTAGTGAGGCACTGTCATGACTGCAGCGTGACACCTCACGAGGGGCACCGACCCCTGGAGACCCTGCGTCAGTTATAAAGAAAGGGGGAGATGTTACCCACAAGAGCGTCCTCTGTCTCATTGGGGGGCTGCGCCGGTCAGTAAAGACAAAATGTTGGAACAAGCACTCTTTATTCTTTTGTTTTGCTTTATAATACTTGAAATTTGACATTGTGTATTGTCACCCCTGTTATGTAAACTCTTAGGTTCAGAGCTGTTCACTGCTTGTCCCCAGTTCCTAGGATCCCACTTAGCACAAGTGGGCAGGTGATTAGTGCTGTGGAATAACTTACATGCAGGGCTGGGGAAACTGGTCTTTTGTGACTCCCTCTTTGGATCAGTTATTTTTCTTCACGACCCAAGAGCTTGAACCAAGGAGGTAATCCATAGTGTGTGTGCTAGTGGTAAGAAGGGAGGTAATAGAGAATTAAAGGTGTTTACACCCTGGCTGTCACACTGTTATATTGCTTTGGATACATTGTTTTACTTCTCCAAATCTATTTGCTTGTCTAAAAAATGGATACAGTGGTTAAATGATTACCCTAACAGGAAAAGGGCCAAACACCTGTCAGTTTTAAGCAGCACATCTGACTTCTGCAGCGTGTACAAAGGGGGATGTCAGATGTTTCATTTATGAAAAAATCCAGAACTGTTGTGGCGGGACTAAAGAACATGCGGTTCCAACTGACAATTTCATGGAAAGCAGTACAGTCCTCAAGCCTTACCATTTTTGTTTGCTTTCTTTTTTTGAGACAGAAGCTCGCTGTATAGTTGAGGCTGGTCTTGAACTCACTATGTAGCCTAGGCAACCTTGAGCTCGCCTAGCCTCATCCTCTGGTGTGCTTGGATTGTAGCAGTGCGCCACCACGCTGGCTTATTTAGTTTTATTTATTTTTTATTTTTTTTTTTTAGCAAATCCATCACAGGGGTAGAAAAGCACCCCTCAGTACAGACTCTCCTCAGACCAGGCAGTTGTTTGTCAGCCTGTCTGTAGGACTTAAACTTATGAGATCGATTGTGAGAGCCAATGTCTCATACAAAAAAGCTCGAGAGGCATTTCAGTCTTTAAAGCTTTGCTAGCTCCTTACAATGTATGTGGTAGAGTCAGACCCATTTGAAAACTTAACAAATGTGCCAGAAAGAAACTACCACAACTATTTAGTTTTAACACTGCAGGCCGATTTTTGTTCCTGATGCACAGTCCTTGGTCTCCTCCTAAGGGCACGAGCTGCATCAGCCCGTTTAACTTTGAGCAAAAGCCCCTGGACCATGAAGCGCGCCTCACTCCTGACAAACGCGTTCCTGACATAACGTTTACTCGGTCCTCAACTGGGGCCAGACGGTTCTCCCTGCGCATGCCCAGCGATCCTCCGGTCACCTTGACCACCGCGACAAGGACCCCGTGGGAAACGCTGGTTCCCCCGCCGCGCTGTTTGTGGCTCGCCCATAGAGGGGTTCACAGTGAGAACACATGAGGAGAAAACCCAAACAAAAAATGAAGGGCGTGGAAAAGAGTGGGGCAAGGGAACACGTTTGTCGTCGTTATGTCTTTCGTTATTGGAGGTAGCAGAGGAGTTAGGAGTGGCTTTACAATTTTTTTTCGGACAGGCATTTTCCAAAGGTAGCCCGGGCGCGCGGAACTACAGTATTTCCGAAGGTCCTCTTCCGGCACCTTGCGCCTGCGCTCTGGCAGGCGTAAAGGCGGGCGGCCGCGGTAGAGGGAAGCCTGGAACCGGAAGTGAAGGTTGATTCCCTCCTTCGTCGCTGTTTCTGCCGCCATACGCGCTTGCCCTGCTCAGGTAAGCTTTGGCCTTCACTACCATCCGCCTCCATCTGCGGTTCTCCTTGTTCATCCTGCCACGCGGGTTCCTGATATTTCTTGCTCAGGCGATGGTCTGGTCGCTGGGGCTTACTTGGGTAGTTATTTTCATTGCTTTCATTCTTTTCTAGAGTAAAGAGCTGTTTGGGGGGAGGCAGGGAAGAAAGGGGGGCCCAAAATCCAAGATGGTGGTACCGGCGCCATTGTGTTCCTTTTCTTCGCTCCTGGCTCTTCGAGTGGGTCACTCCCGACCCGAGGCTCCAGCGACTGCGAGGGGCGGCGCTCGGCGTCCCTGGCTGCGGGCTGTTTGTGGAGGGCGGGGCCCTCGTCACCTTCCCCCGGGCCTGCCCTAGGCCGAGGTGGGATGAGGAGGAGCCCGCCTGTGGGCCCGGTTGGACCTGTCTCGCCGGCCTTCTCGTCTTATCTGAAACTGTTTCGAAATGGGGATATCATTGTTTCTCGGAAGATATTTTAGCAGATTAGGAGCCCAAGCGTAACATGAGACTGCTTGGTAAACATTTTGTTAAAAGCTGGAAAGGGAATACTGTACCTTTTCATTAAGCTGCTTCGCTGCAGTGACTTAATTCTTTTATATTTTGTTGCTATTTTGCAGCGCTGGGGACTGACGCTTGACCCTCTGGCGCGCTAGGCGAGCACGCCCTGAGCTGCGCTCCCAGTGTCTTTGTGTTTTGTGTTGCCACTGAGGCATTTTTCTTTCCCTTGCTCCCCACCACTGACTGCACAGGATTTCCTGAGCATTGGAAGCCGCTGCTGAGGAGTGGGAGGTGCACGGCAGCCATATGATGTTCTGTTCTGAGACGTGAGCGCTCTGCGCAGTGCTGACCCTGATCTATCACCCTGGACTGATGGCTGCCGTGCAGGGATCGGCGCAGAGGGATGCAGGGAGAGCTCAGGATCCTCCCTAGGATGTTCCAGGACTGCTCATTTCCATTTGCACCTCTCCTAAGTGCTAGATCTTTTTCAGCTTCTCGTGATGCTTTTTTTTCAGTGTTACTATAAAGAAAATTTTTAAACATTAAAAAAACAGTTTTTTTTAAATTTTTACTTTTGAGACTGGCGTTTCACTGTGTAGGTCAGGCTGGCTTTGACCTCTGAGGGCCATCCTCCAGCCTCAGCCTCCGGAGTGCTGGGGTTACAGGTGTGTACCCCTACACTGGCTCAGAGTATTTCTAAATTGTCTTCGTATTGAGCTTGTTTGTGCTACTGTGAGCCACAGTCTTCCTGGCAGCCATGTTCGCGGAAGCTACTTTTTACATTTTTCTATTACAGCTGCTTTTCATTTGTAGGCCTTGTAGCTGTGATTTTTCTTCCCAGCTGTTGTAGTTTAGGGAAAGTAGGAAGGGCGAGGCAGTGGAAAATGGTGAAAGCCTGCTCCTGACTGATACCTTTCGCTGTTTTGTTTTGTTTTCCTAGCTCTTCTGTCAGAAGTATCTTTCTTCCCCTTTGCTTTCTGCACCCCCTGCTCTTCCCCCTGGTTTGCACCTGTTCTGGGAGACCTCACCCAGAGCCCCCTCCCCGCGCCTCTGCCGGCCCAGTGATGGCAGAGAATGATGTGGACAATGAGCTCTTGGACTATGAAGACGATGAGGTGGAGACGGCAGCTGGGGGAGATGGGGCCGAGGCCCCTGCCAAGAAGGATGTCAAGGGCTCTTACGTCTCCATCCATAGCTCTGGTTTCCGCGACTTTCTGCTCAAGCCAGAGTTGCTCCGGGCCATTGTTGACTGTGGCTTTGAGCATCCCTCAGAAGGTAAATTTTCTGTTAGCCCGAGAGTTCTCCTTGGGCACTTCAGGGGCTCCTGGACAAAGATGGTTGTTCAGATGGTGAAGATTAACATTTAGAATAGTACAGGGCACAAGTACCAAAAATTGTCTTAATAACGGAAAGGTTTGTTTAGTCTTTCCTGATGGCACTGAAGTGCCAGTAATCCAGAGCCAGCTTAGATGGCAGACTGCCAATGTGCCTGGTTTTTTCTTCTTGTCTGTTTGTTTTTTTTAACTTTGCGGTTTTGGCTATTAAGTTTTCAGAAAGGACCTAGTCAGGCCTTTAGTTTCCCCTTTTGGGCCAGGCCAGAGCTGGTCTCTGGAAACATTTTTGACTGGCCTAGAAACGGCTGGCTTTTGGGTCAGGTACCAAGTGCTTCATTTTGTTCAAGGTTGCAGGGTTACGTGACCCAAAGCATGGCAACCTAAGTAGGCGAGATGGCCTGTGGCAGGCATTGAAATGTCACGGATTGTTACAGTTTAAGAAACATAAGGACAGAGCCAGGAGCACTGAAGGTGAGCTTTTGGGAGGCGCAGGAGGTCATCAGCTCCTCTGGGAGCTGGACCTGGAGGACGGGAGCTCGGACAAGCTAGGGGGGTTTGATTTGGCATTAACGTGACCAGAGGTCAGAGAGGTGCATAGGGCCTGAAAGTTTGCAAGAAGCATTTGGAGAACTGAGTGGGAAAACACGGCTGTGGTACAAAAGGTGGTGAAGTTGTTTGGAGACAAGTCTTGATTTCTTTCTTTTCTTTCTTGTAGTCCAGCATGAGTGCATCCCTCAGGCCATTCTAGGCATGGATGTCCTGTGTCAGGCCAAATCAGGCATGGGAAAGACAGCAGTGTTTGTCTTGGCCACACTGCAGCAGCTGGAGCCAGTGACCGGGCAGGTGTGCTTGGGGAGTGGGGCAGGTGTGCTTGGGGAGTCGGGAGGGCCTTTGGGTTAGGCCCGCATGGGATGGGAGTCTGGCCCCGCTGCAGCTCTTCAAGCTATGAGCAAGCGCCTTGCCAGCTAGCAGGAATATTCTGTTAAGTGTGGATTTAATTATTCAGACCTCAGCGCTGACGTCATTTGGCCCTTACTTCCCCAGAGGGAATATCGAGGGGCATGTGCTTCCTGTGACTAGGGCTACCTGTTTTCTCCCCAGGTGTCCGTACTGGTGATGTGTCACACTAGGGAGTTGGCTTTTCAGATCAGCAAGGAGTACGAGCGCTTCTCTAAATACATGCCCAATGTCAAGGTAAGCCTGCCAGAAGAACCCAGGGAGAATGGGTGTGGGGGCATATGCCCTGGAAACTGTGGAACAGGTGCATGAAAACTCCTGCCTACTTGTAAATGGCAGGAAACTCCTGCAGACTCGAGTGTGCAAGAGATTTTACTTTTGGTTTCCATTACAAGCTCAGAGGTGCCAGCTGTAGTTTAATTTGGAGAAACTAGTTTGCATTGGCTTAACACAGTGCAGATACACCTGTGCTGCATGAGAGTGTGTGATTGCTGTGCTGATCCGTGCCACAGCAGGGGGTTCAGCCTCATTTGGGAACTTGCTGGAATTGATCAGCTGGGTGTGAAAATACCACCGCAAAGGCAATTCCCCTGCAGCTAGAGGTGACAGGCACTGGCTTATAATTTCCTGTCATGCTGGCTTCAGTGAAGAACAGCACTTTCCGTTCCAGTTGTTACAAGTTTTCTGTTAGTACTTTATAGTGTAGAGGAACTAGGAGTGTGAGAGCCATAGCCTTAAACTGAATGTTTCTTAAAAATCAAACAAGTAGTTGTTCTAATTGGCGTCTTACCGGGGAAAAGATGTGTTTTCCCAGCTGTAACCCATTTTCACTGAAGGTGATCGCTTACCCCACCCCAGTGTAGCCGCCTGGTGCCTGCTGGGCAGGTGCCCCCACCCCTCCTGGGCAGTGTTTTCTTAATTTGTCAGTTTATAGTACTTTGTGACTCCTTTCCACGGAACATTAGTTGGTTCACACTTGTCTGATGTTCTGAAAACCGCTTATTTAACCCTTGAGATGTGACTTAAGGCCAAGGAAGCTGGGCAGTGTCTGTGGTGTACTTGCTGCCTTTGCGCCGAGCAGGAAGGTGTTCACATTTGTGTTGAGTTCAGCAGCGAGCCAGAGTTGCATTCTCCCTCTGCAGCCCCAGCTTAGCCACCCTCGGGTCGCTCAAGGGACTCGGGGTGCTGCGGTCAAATGAGACTGGGCAGTCATGCAGGGCACTCTAGTGCCTGCTATGGGAGGCTCAGGCAGGAGGACCACTTGCACCTAGGGGTGAAGGCCACCCTGAGAAACACAGTGAGATTCTGTTGAAAAAACGCAAAAGCCAGTGCACATGGCGCTCCCTAACTCGCACTTAATCCTGCTCAGATCCATCCTGGGTTTGTGTGTCACTCCCTTAGTGTCTTGCTTGCTGTTCCTCCTAGTATTTCATATCGGCTACAATTTATATTTCAAAGTGTAACTGATTGAAGTTAATCATTCCTGGCAGGAATCCTTCCTGGGTGGGTGCTCCTGACCTCCTGGTGTGCTGCAAATGTCACTCATTGGCGGCCTCGGGTTTACCCTGGAAGGAAAGACTTCCCCAGAATGGGGATTTGGATGGTCTGATCCCTTGACTGTTTTTACCCTTTGAAGCTGAAAGGCAGTTTCTGGAGGTGTCCCTATTCTATGAATTAAGGCTCAGGTCTTTATCAGCTGTTCTAGTGGTTTAGTCATGGGTAATAAATACACATAGTTTAAATCAGTAACTGAGACTTTATGTGATAGTTCTTTTAGAACAGCTTGATGTTTCATGTGTTTTTGCGGGGTGTGTGTGTGAGTGAAGGTAATACAGGAGGTTAAATCTGGGGCCTTCAAATTGAGTGCATTCTCAGTATCTCCTTTTTAAATTTTACTTATTTTTTGTCTTTTTGAGACAGGGTCTCACTGTGCAGTTCAGGCTGGCCTGGAGCTCACTTTGTAGCGTAGGCTGGTCTCAGAACTTGCACAGTCCTGCGCCAGCCTCCCAAGTGCTACGATTACAGGCGTATGCAGACATGCCTGGCCCCTCAGCTCTTTTTGTGTTTTGAGACAAAGTTTTGCTAGGCTGTCCAGATGGCACTGGAACTGGTAATCCTCCTGCCTCAGCCTCCCAAGTGCTGGGATTATAGGTGTGCACTGTGCCTAGCCCATGTGCTTTTGCTTGTGTGACTGTATCAGGTTGTGTGTGTGTTTTATTGGTACATTTTAGATATACATAATGATAACATTCATCCTAAGGTATTTGTACTTGTATGTGATACATCTTTTTTTGTAATTTTTTTCATCTTGGGGCTGGGGATTTAGCTCAGTGGCATAAGCGCCTGCCTTGCAAGCAGGCATTCGTGAGTTCGATCCCTGGTACCGATAAAAACAAAAAAGACCCCCCCCCCCAAATTTTTTTTTCATCTTGCTTTTTTTCCCCATCATCCTTTCCAGCCCCTCTTCCCCTCCTTATTTACAAAAGCTTTGTTTCCATTTTTTTCTTCTGCTGTCTTTTTCTCCTCTCACCTGCACATGTTCTTCCCATTTCCCAGTATCTGTTAGATGTACTAGTCCTTGTTTATTTATTTTTATTGGTCCCGGGGATCGAACTCACAACCATGCACTTGCAAGGCACTTATGCTGCTGAGCTAAATCCCCAGCCCCACTAGTCCTCATTTATACATTGAGTTTCTCACACCAGGGAGACGGTGCAGCATTGACACATGCGTGTGCCGTTTATTTCATGGAAGTTGCATCCGTTGAGCTAGAAATGGCTCAGGCTCTCCCAAGTGCTTTTCGTGGCACTCAGTGGTGCTTTCTTGCTGTCCTTATCCTTAAACTGACCCCTTAGAGTCCTGAGAAGACTACGCTTAGGTCAGGACACAGGCACTTGATGCTTTCACATGGCTGGGAAACTCACCTTGGTTGTCACCTCAGTATTTGGGCACCCATAGGAATTCTGGTACTGGGGACTGAACTCACAACCTTGTGCTTGTGCCACTGAGCCATATCCCTGGCCGATTTCTTAAGTTGTTCATTGTGACGTGTGCTGAGTTGATTAGAGGAGTCCTCCTGACAGAATGGGAGGTGGGATTTCCTTCCTTGTGAGACTGTCCCTGGCCTGCAGGTGGCTGTGTTTTTCGGTGGTCTGTCTATCAAGAAGGATGAAGAGGTGCTGAAGAAGAACTGCCCCCACATTGTCGTGGGAACTCCTGGCCGCATTCTTGCCCTGGCTCGAAACAAGAGCCTCAACCTCAAGCACATTAAACACTTCATCCTGGATGAGTGCGACAAGATGCTTGAACAGCTCGGTGAGTGGCGGCTGGGAGGTGGCTGTCTGGGAGATGCCTCTGGTGCCAGATGATGTCCGTTGGCTGCAGGAGCACTTGGTGCGAGGACGACTGTTTACCTATCACCCATGCCTGATGGCTCAGAGCGCCCTGTCCCTAGACTGGGGGGTACGCGTTGTTTCGGTGGTGCGTGGGACTGAACCCAGGGCCTGGTCTTTGTTCATCTGGACTTTTCCTTTGTAATTTTCTGTTCTGGCAGACATGCGTCGGGATGTCCAGGAAATTTTTCGCATGACCCCGCACGAGAAGCAGGTCATGATGTTCAGTGCTACCTTGGGCAAAGAGATTCGTCCAGTCTGCCGCAAGTTCATGCAAGATGTAAATACCCTTCTACCTTCTCTCCTTCCACTCCCCGCCCGCTGAGTCCTCCCCTCCTCGCCCTCTTTCTCCAGACTCCCGTCCTCAGACCCCAGAGGAGGCAGTGCCGTCGGGAGCGATGACTCCTGGAAGAGACAGAGAGGCAGAGACAGCTAGCGCTAGGGTCTGCGCCAAGGCTAGGGAAACTCCGGAAGACTTGGTCGGGTTACAGAGAGCGGGGAGCGGGCCACCTTTTCCACCCGGCGGCAGTCCTGAACCAGTTCTCTCTTGGCGGAGGGCAGGTTGGCTGCCCTCCTGCCTCCCGTCATCTTCGCAGCCCCATGCAGCCACGCACCTCAAGGTGGCAGCGAGCATCCGGCTTCTGCTCAGACTCACAGCTCCCAGGCAGGAGAGCAGAGAGGGACAGACAGCAGGCAGGGCCCAGCCGTGAAGAAGAGCAGCTCAGAGGAGTGTCCCTCCCACCCCGGGGCGGGGGCCTCGGGCCCCCAGCCCCCACCCCTGCCCTTCCCGCCCACCCCTCCTGGCACCCACACCATCGGAGCCTCGGTCCATGGAGACGCGAGCTGGCAGCAAGAGAAGCTTCATGGCGACGCGGGAGTGCGACACACCGAGCTGTGGATGGCGGCGGCGGAGGCCGCGGGGAGCCTGACCAGGAAGCGGAGGACCAAACCAGCTCTTTTTCTGTTCCTGGTTTTTTTCCTGAACCTAACAGGAGCTGCGCCCCGAGTGCCCCCATACATGTTGGGGAGGGGTGTCCTAAGTGGGGTGGTGGATTTTTTTTCTTTAAAAAGGTTATTTTTAAATTCTCAGTGGAGAGGGTGGGGAGAGGTGCAGTGGAACGCTCTCCTGGACCGTGAGCAAGCAGCTGTGAGGGTCGGGCTGGGCGCAGCCGTGGAGCAGCGGGGCTGTTCCTCCCCGCATGCTCGTCCTTGGGGTGATGGAGTTTATAGTTCTGAGTGGGCCAGAATTGGGTGTGAGTTGCGTTTAGAGAGCCTGGCTTGCTGGCCTGCTTCTCCAGGTGTCCACTTTTTTCCTGTGAGACACAGACCCCTTCGAGTCTTGATGCCCTGTATGGTGTGAAGACACGGGGTCCTCCAAGACGCTACAGAGGCCAGGGGTGTCGGGGGCTTGGAGCCGCCCTTTGTCAGTTCCTGACTTTTTTATGCTACTCTCCTCTGCCCCCAGGGGTTGAGTTTGTTTTTATTTTTAGTTTTTAGTGGATGTGTATTTGCTGCTCTATTTGCTTTTCTGTTAGCATCAAGTACTGATAGTTTCCCTGTAAACCTGTTGATGGTTTTACCAGTAGAGAGCAGTGTCGCCCACATGAGTTGCTTGTGGTCTGGGAGCACGCTGCCACTCATCTCCAGTAATTTTTCTCTTTAAAATGCGCTTGATTACATCCACTGTAGCCCTCTGGTCTTGGAGGCATCTGCTCCCTCAAGTGCATGAGACTGTAGTTTGGAGAACTAATGAAGCCGTCGGCCTCCCCACGCTCTCGGATGGAGGTTTCTGGCCCCAGGACTGTTTCCTGTGGTCCTTGGTGTCAGGTCACGGCCTCCTCTGTGCGTCCCCTGTGAGCTGCTGTTTTCTTCCTCCTACTTCATTGGAGGTGCCGGCTTCTCGGCATGGGGTGGTTTCACTGCTCTGTTATTTTGTGAATTTTTCCCATGAGTATTCATTTGGGGGCAGTCTTAAAATTCAACTGATGGGAAGCAGATGAGGTCACATGTGAAGGACCACAGGAAAATGGGTATTTTTGGTGGTGGCGGGGTTTCCAGTCTCTCCTCCCATCCCCCCATGGGGTGTATTGGAGATCAGCTTCCTCCACCCCCCCAGGTTTAACCCCCCCACTCTGCCCTCCTCCCGTCCCCACCCTTTCCTCCCTCTCAGCCAATGGAGATCTTCGTGGACGATGAGACCAAGTTGACGCTGCACGGGTTGCAGCAGTACTACGTGAAACTGAAGGACAACGAGAAGAACCGGAAGCTCTTTGACCTTTTGGATGTTCTTGAGTTCAACCAGGTCAGTCGTTCAGGTCCAGTTGGTGAGGCTGGGCCCCTTCTCCAGCTGCGCCAGAAACCTGTGGCAGAGTAGTCTTTTTTTTTTTTTTTTTTGGTCTTTTTCGTTTTTATCGGTACCAGGGATCGAACTCGAGACTGCCTACCTGCATGGCAGGCGCTTATGCCGCTGAGCTAAATCCCCAGCCCCGGCAGAGTAGTCTTTATTGAGGGTGCATGCAGTATAAGGTTTCCTTTTTTGGGGTCAAACCCACGACTGTGCCTACTGGGAAGTCCCTAACTGAACTGTGCCCTACCTCTGAGAAATTTCCTTCTCGGTGGTGTAGACATTGATCGCAGGCCTTCACAGCAATTCACGTCCCCAGTCCTTTAGGGTTTTACCCAGGCCACCTTTGACCTATGATCCGCCTGCCTCAGCCTCCCAGGGTACTGGATGACAGACAGGGTGCAGTGCCATGTGTGACGGGGAAATCCTCTCAGAGGGAACTGAGTTGAGCAAGGTGGAAGGTGCTTTTGTTTCCTGGCTGAAGAGATAAGATAGATAAGAGAGATACTGGGTCCTCCAAGACGGTACAGAGGCCAGTACCAGTACCAGGGGGTCCGGGGGCTTGGAGATAAGAGAGCTTAAGGAAGATAACCCTCAGAGTAAAATCCCAGGGGGAGTTTATAAGTGTGTAAAAAGCGGTTGAGTTTGGAAAGGCGTGCATTCTTCAGTGGAGAGGCCAGTCTGTCCTTTTACCTGGTGTGGTCTGTCTGCACTAAAAACTGCACTCTGGAGCTAAATCGAGTTTCCTTAGATTTAGTGTTGTGCCGAGGGAGAGTCAAGAGTCTGATCTTCGCGGAGCTTTTCTTATTCCTAGCGTGTGGCCGAGAGGCAGCCTCCTGTCCTCCTAGGCCTGGCGATGTGGGTTTCTCTTCCTTGCGCCGCCTCAGGGCTGCCCGCTGAGGAAAATCCAGCCCTGGAAGGCTCTTATCTCTAGTGCAGAAGTGCAAATGCGTGATGGAAATAAGAGGACCGCGGGCCTTTTAGAGTAAAATTCCTGAAAATCCGCACCATAACTTGTCTCCCGCCGCGGCCACCGCGGGCCCGCAGGTGGTGATCTTTGTGAAGTCTGTGCAGCGCTGCATCGCCCTGGCCCAGCTGCTGGTGGAGCAGAACTTCCCGGCCATCGCCATCCACCGCGGGATGCCCCAGGAGGAGAGGTGCGCGTAGTGGGGGCGGCGGGCTCTGGGGACGAGGAGCCGGGAGAGAAGGCACTCAACCGTGTTTCTCATTTCCTCTCTCCCAAGGCTCTCTCGGTATCAGCAGTTTAAGGACTTTCAGCGGCGGATTCTCGTGGCTACCAACCTGTTCGGCCGGGGCATGGACATTGAGCGGGTCAACATCGCCTTCAACTATGACATGCCCGAGGACTCGGACACCTACCTGCATCGGGTGAGCCCCTGGCCCAGGGGCTCCTACGTCTCTCCTCCTCTCCCCTGGGTGCCTCCCCCTCCTGGGTCTTCTAGTGTTCCCTTTGTTGCCTTCAGGTGGCCAGAGCAGGCCGGTTTGGCACCAAGGGCTTGGCCATCACGTTCGTGTCGGACGAGAACGATGCCAAGATCCTCAATGACGTGCAGGACCGCTTTGAGGTCAACATCAGCGAGCTGCCGGACGAGATCGACATCTCCTCCTACAGTGAGTGTGGCGCCCTGGAAGCGGCCGCCCGCCGCTTAGTGTCCCCTTGTCCTGAGCGTATGGGTCGTGGGTCCCTTGCATAGGGAGGGGTGCCTGATGCACCTGGGACTTGCCCGCTTCCTTCCTCCTGGTCTTTGATGGCTGTTGGGAGAGTTTTTACGTCCTGTGGGACCCTTCTTCCCGCCCTCTGTCAGGTGGTTTCTCCTCCTTCTCGCCCAAGTCCACCCCTGACCCTGCCCAGTCACAGGCCTGTGCAGGTCCTCTCCTGGGTTGCCCCAGGTTTGGCCTCAGCTCACTCGCACTCATGTTCTCTGCAGTTGAACAGACTCGGTAGAGGATGCGCCCTCGCAGACTGTGCCAGGATCTCTGCAGGAGAGGACACTAGGCGTGGGGGTGAAGGAGACACTACTGCCACCTGCCCGACGGCCCCCACCCTGTCCCGAGCTTTCTCCTTTTGCATCACCACCACTCCTAAGCTCCGTTCCCAATTTATCAGCATTTTTTTTAACAAAACTAAAAATGAACACCAACGTGCGTGTGTGTGGTGTCTGTTAAGTCTGTGCCTTTGGTCCTTTATTGTGTGTCTGAGCCTGGGACAGTTCTTTGGGGCTGTGAGCCCAGCCTTGGGGTGGGGTCAGCCGGCCGACCCGTGTCTCTGCCCTCCTCCCGCCTTCCCTGTGTTCTCCTCTGGGTGGGGGCTGGGCAGGAAGGCAGGCAGGCTGTTTGTAGTGCCTAAGGGCGCTGGGGGAAGTGAGGCATCTCCCTGTTCCTGCAGCTTGTGCTCGTCAGACTCCGGGCCTGGGCCTCCAGCCCCATCCTGCCCGTGCAGGATGGGAGCAGCTCTGGCTGCTGCTCGGGACTGCAGCCGGGTGGGGGCGGGGCTGAAGCCCTCGGAAGCAGTGTTGCAGTGGACGCCCCTGCCTCCCCTAAAGCTTTCCTCTTGGGCTTGCAGATTGAACCCAGGGAACACTGAGTTTTTCTGCTTTTTAAAGTCTGAGGCAGTTTAGCTAAGCTGTCCAGGTCTGGGGGGCTCCTGCGCCTGCCTCTGCTTGAAGCTTCTGGGCTCA